TTTAGCAAACATGTAAAACATGTAAAAAAAGGTCAGAAACATTTCAGAAGCTTAAAACAGCTATAGTTACTATCATTGCCATGGAGTTACATAGCAATTTACTTACATAATCCAAAGACTTTAAAATTCAGAGAAGGAACAGTTACTATTTTCCATATTTCACAGAAGGAAAAATAATTTGGAAAAGGTAAAAATTCTGTTCACAGCTAAAGAATAAAAATGACCAGTGGCTCTGGAATGGATGTGGTATCTCTGTACCCTGACTTGGGGTTCCTACCAGGCCCTCAAAAGACAGAGAAAAGATAAAAATTTAGAAGGCATCATTTGATAAAGCATAAAAAATTTATAAAAACCTGCTGGATTCTGACTGAAACTGCAATGAATCTATAAATCAATTTGGGGAGAAATGACATTTTTATAATACTGAGTCTTCCACCTACGAACGTGATGAATCACTTCATTTTTTATGTCTTCTTTAATTTCTCTCATTAAGTGTGTGTATAGAAGTCTTATATATCTTTTTAAAAATTTATTCCTAGGTACTGAATGTAAATGGCATATTTTTAAAATTTAACTTTCTAACTGTTCATTGATGGTAAATAGAAATATAGGTGATGTTGGTATTTTCATGTATTAATTCTAAAAGCTTATCTGAATGTCTCTTGGGGTTTCTGTGAACCTAATAATGTCTTTGCAAAAATTAATTTATGTTTTTTTCCTTTCTAATCTTTAAGAACCTTTTATTTTTCTTGGTTTACTAAGAACAGATTTTCAGTTAATACAGCATTAAAAAATATCTACTATGAAGAAAACAGAACCTGCAACTAAATTAAGAATTGGAATGTTTCTGGAGCCCAAATTCCTGAAGATTTTACCAGCAAAATGTCTAAGGGTAGAAGCACTCTCTGCCAGGTGTGGCCATGCTCATTCGCAAATACAACTTCTATGTGACCATTTGATTACCATTTAAGTTACTGAAGACAATTCTTAATAGAACTGAACAAAAAGCAGAAGAATAATAGTTAGGAAAATGGAACAATCTCCTAAGTGAAATGGGCCTGCCAGATCTATATTACAGATGAAAAAAAATTATATGATCCCTAGTTATCTTTAAAACTTTGTTTCAGAGAGACAAAAAATTAAGTTTACATTCGGCAGGGTGTACAGTTAACACAACGAAATTTTAAGTCCAAGTCTTAAATTTAAACATTTTAAATTATTACTCTCTACAGAAACAAATGAAAGAAAGCTCTGCTTCCTTGCATTCAAAAGTCAATATATAATGTGCCAAACCCCTTCTTCTTCCTTGGGGGGTTATAGTGAAATCCCACAAACTGGGCTAAAATCCCATTTTGTACCACTAGATACATTTTCTTTTGGGGTTTATCTCAAGATGAAGTAACCATACATCTCGCTGTATGCCTGTTGTCTTGCTTAATGTTCTTAGCACCTCCTTACACTTTCGAAAGTGTCCCAGTTGGCTGTAAACCAATTGACAATCCTAATAATAGTACAGGATTAGAAGTGAGAAGACCTAGGTTTTTGTTCTGGCCCATTTCTTGGAGAGTAACTTCACCATTCTGAGGATATCAGCATTTTCATATAGGTCATGGTGAGAAATAAATAAGATTCTGTATATAAAATTAGTTTATAAACTATAGAATGCAACACATTTTAACAGGCATTTTTAAAAACAAATGGTGTCAATGAAAACTGTGGAGTAGGGAGATCCAAGGGCCATTCCTTCACTGAAACACAGAAAAGCTAGCAAATACTGTCAGAATCAACATTATCAAAACTCTGGAAAATGGCCAAAGGTTTACAGCAACCAAGTGAATGCTTAACCAAGAAAAGAAGAGACTGAAACCTGGCAGGAGACCTCTGTGGAATTTTAACTTAACCTCTCCCCATCCCCTCTTTCTGGCTCAGGGGCAGTCTTGAAGATGATAGCCTATGTTCCTGGTATGAGTTTCTGGTGCTGCAGGGAGTAGAGCAGTCTTTGTTCTCAAAGAACTGTGGTTGTCTGTTTTGACCTGTTGGGTGGCTTCCTGAAGAACTAATACCTTCATTCTAATACCTTCATTTCATCTGACTTGGATTTATTTTCTTTTTGGAAAATTTCGAAAGGCAGAGAAGTAGCTTTGATACTTTTGTTGAAAACATTTAAAGGCAAAAGAACCAGCTGCTGCCAGCTGAGGCAAAGGATATCAGTTGAGGCAAGCAGCACACATGCTGAAAAGCTTGGGAGAAAAAGCTGAGGAGTAAGTTTTGAAAAGCTTCCACATATTCCTGGGAACCTAGAAAGCCATGCATGTGCCATGGTCAGAGTGCGTGCTCAGAAAAGACCTAAGAAGGCCCTAAGCTCTCACCTTTGCCTGGCTGTTAAGCCTTGCGGAAGCAGGAAGTAAAGGCAAAGGAAGAGCTGTAAACTGGGCTGAGTGTTGAACGTGTGTTCCAATACAGACATAGTACCCAGTTGCAAAGACTGGGAATATTTTTGTTTTTTGATCCAAGCACTTAAGAAAATCTGTTAAGTCACTAGCTAACCACTAAGCTAGCAGAACGGAGATTTCAGCAACCACACACAACAAAAAACACGATCTTTTGAAAATAGTTTAAAGTCACTAAACAAGCAAATACAATCCACAATGAGGAGTAATGAGAAAGCCTGCAGAGGGGGGGAAAATCTAAGTTTCGGAGTTATCACATAATATTTAAGCTATCCAGTTTTCAACAAAAAAATATGAGGCATATGAAGAAACAAGAAAGTATGGTCCATTCACAGGATAAAAAGAAATAAACAGATACTGTCTCTAAGGAAGCCCAGATGTTGAACTTACTAGACAAAGACCTTAAATCAAATATCTTAAATATGCTTAAAGAGCCAAAGGAAACCATGGTCAAAGAAGTAAAGGAAACCAGAATGATGTCTCACCAAATAGAGAATAATAATATAGAGATAAAAATTGTAAACACTAAATAGAAATTCTGGAGTTGAAATGTACAATAATTAAAATGAAAAATTCGTTAGAGGGGTTCAACAGAAGATTTGAACAGGTAGAAGAATCAGTGAACTTGAAGACAGGTCAACTGAAATTATCAGTATGAAGAACAGAAAGAAAAGGAAAATGAAGAGTCTAAGAGACCTGTGACAGACCATTAAGCATACCAACATAGGCATCATGGGAGTCTTGGAAGGAGAACAGAGAGAAAGGAGCAGAAAAAAATATTTGAAGGAGTAGTGGTGAAAAACTTCCCAAATCTGACGAAAGATGTTAAAGAAAAACAACTGCCAATGGAGACTTCTATATCCAGCAAAAGTATCCGTCAATAATGAAGGAGGAATTACGATATTTCCAGATAAACAAAAGATGAGGAAGTTTGTTGCTAGCAGACCTGTTCTACAAGACATGCTAAAAGGAGTCCTTCAAGCTGAAATGAAAGGACATTAGACAATAACTTGAAGCCACACACACACACACACACGTGCGCATGCATGCACACACAAACACCAGTAAAGATAACCACCTAGGTAAACATAAAGCCAGTATTATATTTTTAGTTTGGAAGGCCTCCTTTTTTCTCTGCAAGATTTTAAAGACAAATGCATAGCAAAAATCAGAAATCTATGTTAACGAGCACACAAAGTATTAAGATGTAATTTCTGACAATAGTGTAAAGGGGAAGGGATGAAGCTGTAGAGCTGAATGTCTGTATACTATTGAAGCTAAGTCAGTGTTAATTCAAAATAGACTATCATAAATTTAAAATGTAATCTGCATGGTAATCACTAATAGTTAAAAAACAATAAATGATATGGTTGCCCTAGCCAAAGGAGACTTCAGTCTCACCTTTGTTATGCATCCCTTGAGTTTCCAGGCTGGGTTTACACTAGGGAGTAAGGCTCTAGGGCACTGCTTTAGTCTGGATCACAAGTTAAAAGGAAGACATTCTCTGCTGCAAAAACTCAAGAAGGATTTAATAACTTTGCTAGTCTTTGCTCCCTCTCCCCAGGATGGGAGGAAGAAAATGTGTTGAACTACCAGGTCATTCAGACATTTTTACTACATCTGATTCTGAAAAAATTCACAACACCAAAAATAATCAAAACATTGAAGTGATCAAAGTCTAAGTGTAAAATACTTTTTAATCTGCAAGTTTCCTTTTAGTCATAAGCATGGTGGCTGCTTCTTTATAACCATATGTAATCAATACAAAGCTTGTGACCAGCAACCTTTTGCAAAACCATTCCAAAAGATGTAAAGAGTGCTGTAGTGTTCACTCAGGGCCAGAAGGAACACAATAGCTGAAAATGATGATAGTATATGATGTAAATAACTAGATCTGAGAAGCAGTATATCACTGTGAACACTCAGTAAAATGATATAACAGAAACCAGAACGCCTCTCTGCTCAGACCCCTCGCAGGACTTCTTATCCACTCCAAACCCAAACTCTGCACTGTCTATAAGACCTACCATGACTGGGTGCCTAGACACCTCAGAAGGCTCATTCCCTGTCACACACTCCATGCCCTGCTCCAACCACCTGGTTTGCTTATTGTGTCTCAAACATGCCTGAATACTTTACTTTGCCTTAAAGTCTTTGCATTTGGAGTTTGCTGTGCCTAAAAGGAGTAAAATCTCAGGTATTTAAACAGTTTTCTTCCTCATCTCCTTTAGGGCTCTACTCACATGTTACCTATCAGAGAAGCTTTTGCTGACCACATTACCTAAAACAGGACAACCCCTCAATATTAATCTCTAACCTCTTCCTCTGCTTTATTCTCATTCATAGTCCTAAGTACTACCTGATGTTCTATATATTTAATGTTAATTTACTGACTTTCCAACCTCTGTCTCATTGTAAGTCTCTAAAAGAGCAGAGACTTTGGTATGTTTATTGCTGTATACCTAGCACTGATAACATTGCCTAGCACAGAAGTATTCAATCAACTGTTATGGAATGAATGTGATTAAATTAAATGGCATAAATACCTACCCAGAATACATGTCATGGGGCAGGTCTCTTCCAGATTACTCAGAAATACTTCTTTTTTGTAGAACATTTTTGTGGGCTCATGTTCCGTCTCTTCTGGGTGAATGAAGATGGGGCCATAAAAATATGCAGCTCCATCTCGGACCCATACTTTTTCAATTCTTGGGGGAAAAAAGGAGAAATTCCATTAAAATAGAATTCTGATGAGTTTCATTCTTGAAGCTAATAAAAATTCCATTAACCAAAAACTTAATGATATACAGAAGAGTTTCATTGGCTGTTTTCATAAGACAATTTCCTTAATTTTTTCCCCTTTAAGCACATGAAAAGATATTTGGAAAAAAAAGAAATGAACATTTGGCTATTCATTCATGTGAGGAAAAAAATATTTTAACATAATATATACTATACACTTTACTTATTCACATTTTTTGTCTTCCAACTAGAACAAACATTCACAGGACTAAGGATATGTCTGTTGTATTCACTAATATATCCTCAAACCCTGGCAAACAGTAGGTGTGTAATAAATGATTAGTGAATGATGAACAAATATGATGAGAAAACTGAAGCTCAGAGAGGTAGATCATTTGCCTAAGGACATGAAACTAGCAGAGCTGGGACTTAAATCAAGATCTCTTGGAACCAACTACTATTCTTAAGCACTATCCTCTAATGCCCAACTCTGTACCTGACTCCTTTATATGCTGGTTTATACCATCCAACCATACTTTCATCCGTTTACTTGTTTTTCATATATCTGAGCCCTTACTATGTTTCACGCACTGTGTTTGGAAAAGGGGCTACAAAGGTGAACAAACAGAGAGAGTCCCTACTGTTAGGGCACTTGCAGGCTGGTACAGAAACCTGACAATAATATAATGTGGCATGCATTTCAAAGAGAAGGAAATAAATGGTGCTCAGAGAGTGTATAACAGGGAGACTTAACTCAGTCTGGAGGGGACAGGAGAGGCTTCCTTACGGAAGTGTCATTTCAAATTTAAGCTAAAGGAATTCACCACATGAAGTGGACAGGGAGACTTCTGGGTTGAGAGTTCAGTAAATGGTACAAGATTAAAAAGAGTAAATGGGAGGAATTTAAAAAAGGAAATACGGCTACAGGAAAAAGCAAGGCAAGTGTGGTGTGAGAGAAAGCTGGAAAAGTTACCTGGGGAGAGGCTTTTGTCTTTATCTTTAAGAGTGATGAATTTTTTAAACTGGCTCCACATCTCTCAGACCCAACCTCATTCCTACTACTTCAGTAACTCACCTGCCCACGCGAGGGCGCACCAGGCCATGGGACTTGATGAAGACACAGTCGCCAACCTTCAGCCACATGTCATTGTAACGGAGCTGCTCAAAGTAGTGGCAACCTGGTTCACCGTTTGACATTTCCACAGGGACATCTTCTTTTTCCTATGGTAAAGGAAACTGGTTGAAGACAGGCAGCTGACAATCAAAGAGTAGACAAAGAAAGTAAGAAAGGAAAACAGACTTTCCTTCATTATTAACTTAAAAGAAAAATAACCATAAATGGAAGTTTTGATGAAGAACCAAAAGATTAGGTTACTGAAATCAAACTAAGTCTTATCGAATATTTTACTTTAAATTTCTAGTTAATTTTCATAAAATGTTACTTCAAGATGCTTTTATACCCCTCTCCCTCCTTCTTCTATCTCCATATCCTTTAGCAAAAAAACACTGGAGAGGAATTAGTAGTATTCAGAAGCTGCCTGTTCGTGCATTATTAGAGTATAAGGAGCAAATTTTACAAGCTTCCTCTTCACATTTTCTGAGCTCTCAATTTCTTAATATTAACAATTAATAGATTTAAATTTTTTGTCATTTTGACTTATTCCAATATAGAAAGGAATAACATAACCTCTGTGACCTACACTCACATACATCGCTTTTGAATAAACTACAGGGTCTGTCACCTACTAACTGCTGTACATTGGCCAAATTACTTGACCTCTTATGCCTTAGTTTCCTCATTTGTAATATAAAGATAAGTGTGCCGATCAGATAGGATTGTTAGCAAGCTTAAATGACACAATCCATGTTAAGTACATAGAATAATGCCAGACTCATTAAAAGTGCATTCCTTATTGTTGTTTTATAGTCTTGGCAAAAAGAGACAAACTTCTAAATAATGGAAATAAAAAACATCATTTACTGGGAATCTAGCAGATAATGGGCAGAGTGCTAGGTATTTTAAATATATCAACTCTAAAATGTATAAAAGCAATGGGAACCCCAGAATCTTAAAATATTCGACTGCATCTCACTATCTCTCTGAGAATATCTGAAACTTAAAATAAAAAACTCAAAATGGATTAAAAGACTCAAATGTAAGACATGAAACCATAAAACTTCTAGAAGAAAACATAGGCAGTAAACTTTTTGACACTGTGCTTAGTAATATATTTGTTTTAATATTGGGCAAGGGTAACAAAAGCAAAAATAAACAAAAAAAGGCAACCTAAGTGGGAGAAGATATTTGCAAGTGATACGTCCAATATCCAAAATACATAAAGAACTCATATAACTCAACATCAAAAAAACAATCTGATTAAAAAAATGAGCAGAGGACCTGAACAGACATTTCTCCAAAGATATACAAATGGCCAACAGACAAATGAAAAAATGCTCAACATCACTAATCATAAAGGAAATGTAAATTAAAACTACATGAGATATCACCTCACACCTGTCAGAATGGCTATTATCAAAAAGATAACAAATAACAAGTACTGGCAAGGATGTGAAGAGAAGGGAACCCTAATGCACTGTTGGTGGTATTGCAAATTGGTGCAGCCACTATGGAAAACAGTAAGGAGGTTCCTCAAAAAAATAAAGAACTATCATACCATCCAGCAATTCCACGTCTGAGTATTTATCTGAAGAAAACAAAAGCACTAACTTGAAAAGATATTGCATCCCTGTGTTCACTGCAGCCAAGATATGAAAGCAACCTGTATCCGCCCACAGATAAAGAAAATGGAGTGTGTGTATATGTTGGAATACTACTCAGCCATACAAAAGAATGAAATCTTGTCCTTTGCAACATGGACAGACCTAGAGAGCATTACTCTAAGTGAAATAAGTGAGACAATGAAAGATAAATACTATGATTTCACTTATATGTGGAATCTAAAAAACAGAAGAAACAAAAGAAAACAGAAACAGCTTACAGACACAGAACAAAACTGATGGGTTTCCAGAGGGGTGGCTGAAAAGGTGAAGGGGATTAAGAGGTACAAACTTCCAATTATAAGATAAATAAGTCTTGAGGATGTAATGTACAAGACAGAAAATACAGCCAATAGTATCATAATAACTCTGTACAGTGACATAAGTGACTAGACTTATCATGGTGATCATTTCCTAAGTGTTGAATCACTGCTGTGTACCTGAAAATGATATAATCCTGTACGTAATCTATAATTAAAAAAAAGAATACCTTTATTTTTAGGAATGGGTTTTGTTCTAAAATAATTCTTTAAAAGAGTTCCTAGAATAACTTGTCTTGGCCATGCAATATCAAAATAATGAGAAAAAAGTAACTTATACATGGAGAGGATCCTGAGAACTTACAAATTCTAATAATAAAAATAAGAAATCTAAGTTAATTCCCACATTGGTGTCCACTGGTATTTCTTCTTTTAAAATTAATGTCTATAATTCTCATATATATTGGTAAAATGTAAGAAATCGCATGTGTTAGGACACTAAAATATAGATATTTTCCCCTTAGACAGTAAGAATTCGATTTTTTCCACTTTTTACTAACAATTTAAAAACTTTGTCTTTCTTGATTATATAAAAGAAGTATATTTGTTGGAAATAATTCAAACATTAGGGCATGTAAAACTTAAAAAACCAAAGTCTCCTGTGATGTATCCCCGGATAACCACCCAGTTTAAAATACAGTTTTTGCATGTTGTTTTCACATTCATATGTACAAATATATATTTTTTAGTTTTTTTTTTTTGAATAATGATGGAAACACATACTATTCTACAACCTATTACTTATTAACATCTTTTTTCCACATAACTTGGAAAATTTTCAATGTTACTATATTAGACCTACTTTATTCCTTTCATTGGCCGCACAGTTTGCATTATATGGATGTATGAGAACTTAATGCCTATTCATGGGCATTTGGGTTAGCCTAGGAATTTTGCTTTTACAAACAGTATCAACCCTTGAAGAAAATCCTTGGTGAGGACTATGTTGGAGCACATTCCCTTTCATTAAACTGCATGGTCAAAGGGAATGTCATCAATGGGAGATGAGAGTGTGGTGCCCCAGACAAGGCTGCATGTGTTATCAGTCTTTAGAACTCTTGCCAATATGTTAGGCATTTTAAAAACTATTAGATTAACACATTTTCTTATGTCTTTTGGATGCCTTCCTTCTATAAATGATCTGTTTTGTACTTTGCCCATTTTTCTAGATTTACTTTTCCCCTAGACTTCAAAGAGCTCTTTGAACATTAGAAATAGCAGTCCTTAGACTGTTTTATTAAACTAATTGATATTTTCAATTGCAAATTGATAAAATGATCAAAATGATTTTTTTCTTTTATGGCTACTGGGTTTTATATCAAGCACAGAAAGGACCCATCCCAAGCTTATAAATGAATAAAAGATTATAGGTAAATATAGCAAATGTACTTATGTTAGAAACTAGCACTGTTTTTTTTGTTTTTTTTTTTTTAATGTTTATACCTTATTTATTGTTGAATATAAAGTGAGGGAGAGTTCAGATTTTTTTTCATTTTTCTTTTTCAAATAGTTACCAGTTTTTCCAGTATCATTTGATTCCAACTTCTCTTGCTGATTTAAAATACTACCTTTATATTCTGGACTTCATTTAGGAAAAGCTTATTTCTTCCATTAGCTAGTCCTAAGCTAATAACTCATTTTTTAAAATGTAGTTATGTAAAATGTAATGTCTGTTAGTGCAAAATTCTTGATTATTCTTTTTTTCTTCTTTTTCTGGCAACTGCCACATATTTATTCTTTCATAAGAATGCTAGAATAATTTTGTCTAATTTCAAAAACAATTTACTCAAGTCTTTTACATCATTCAGTAAAATGATTGTCTTCTCACATGTTCTATATATTCCTTTTAAGGTTATTTCTTAATCTATTTTGTTGTTAATATGAATTAGATATTTTCTTCCATATATTTTTTCTAATAATTGCTAAAGTATGTTTTATGTTTTCATTTTACCTTTGAAAGTCTTAAGAATTATTTATATAAGAAAGCTATTGTATATAGAGTTTGAAATTTCTAATTGTTGAACTGTTTCAAAAACTTTTCAGTTAATCTCTCCCCCATTATCTGCAAAAATAATCTTGCCTCTTTATTGTCAACATTTTCATTACTTTTGTTTGTCTACATTGGCTACTTTCAGAAAAATATAAATAATGGTATAGGAAGCATCTCTGGAATGTGCATAATTTGAAAGGAAATTTCTTTTACAGGCTTTTTAGGCATGAGGTACAAAAATAATTTTTAAAAAATCACTTTGAGGAAATATCCAACTAAAAAGTTAAAGAAATCAAGACAGGTAGTATTCTTTAACAAATAATTTCTCCTTTAATCTATTAATATAATAAAATGTATTAGTGAGTTTTCCTAACTTTGAACAATTCTTACATTCTTAAAATGAACTCCCTTCTATTTGGTCAAATAATTTGATTTCACTTATAAAAATACTTTTCTCCTCAAGTATATTTTGCATCAATATTTGTGAGACTGAACTATAATTTTTGTTTTTATTTTGTCAGGCTTTGGAATCAAAATTATACTGGCTTTGAACAACAAACTGAGAAGTTTCTTTGTTCTCCGTGCTCTGAAATAATCTAAGCAACATTGTAATTATAGGTCTCTTAAAGGGTTAAAATAATCCACCTATGGAATTATCTGACCTGAGTACTTTGAGATTAGCTCTCTGACATTTTTAAAATTTTCTTCATGCTGTTGTCCACTATGTTAAAACTCTTCTATATTTCACTTTAGTAATTTGTAATTATCCTAGAAAATTATTTTATTTAGGTTTTCAAATTTATTAGTACAACTTTATTTTAAGTCTTTAAATTTCTTCCACATTTTGCATGTCTAAGCTTAATTCCCTTCTTTTTTATTCGGATAGTTGGTAGTATACCTCATTAAACTCATAAAAGTATTAGCAGAACTTGGATTTACTTTTAAATTCTACTGTTCTGTTTTCTAAGTATTAATTTCTGTCTTTCCTTTATAGTTTCCTTCTTTCTGCTGGGCTAAGGTTTTATATTGTTTTTCTTTTTCTAATGCTGAATTTGAATACTTCATTAATTTATTTTCTGGAATAGATATTTTGAAATGTGAAATTCTCTTCTGTGAGGCTATTATCTACAGACCTTTTCCAAGTTAAAACTTTCTTCGGTTCGACTGTCCTCTGAGTTGTCTGTGTTCTTCTCATCATCCCCTTTGTCTGCATTTGCAAATACAGAGGCCACTCGGACCACAGGCAAGGGTACATCTCGAGGAACAAATCTAACTGAGCTGATGGGCATGGTCCACAGTTTAATTTTCTTAAAAGATTTGGTCTTGGCAGAATACCGTGATTCACAGACAAAAACATCCTCATCACGAAAGTTTTCTGGGCATAATTTAAAGTATTCCTGGGGGAGATAAGAATAAAATTAGATGAATTTTTTGAAAAGTCATCATCCAAAAGAAACAAAAATACACACCAATCAAATGAACAAAAGTTAAACTGTTAAGACTTTCTGAAAGTTAACAACAAATGGTGAATGGCTAGGGATCTAGTAGTATTTTCTTACTTCAGAATGACTTTATTAAATATATACTCTTTAGCTTATTTTAGCCTAACAACTGCCTTTTTGAAAATATGTTAGTATTTCATACAGCTCTAATGCTCCTTAATGCTGTGGGCAGGGCTCATGTGCTTGTATCAGATAGATATACACAGAAAGTAACATTATTATCTAAAAACTGCTACACTGCCAGTTTATAATGATCTTTCCAAAAATGTTATCCTTAAAAATTAGCCCGCCGATATAAAAAAATTTAAGCTGATTATATACAGCTACATAGTGGAAGCAACAAATAGTCTTTACCTTTATATTCAACTTAATTTCTTCTTAAATCTATGTACAGCCATATGAACACAGCTTAAAATTTTTTTCAAACAGTTTAAAACAGAACTTCTAATTTTGTAAATATAAACTTTTTGTTTGTAAGTTTTATTCTCTTGGGATGATTTATACTTTGGAACTAAAGTTTCTTACCTTGACAAACATGACCACACATTTTCCCAGAATTTTGCTAACGGGAACTTTATTGTAATAGTCACTCTTAAAAACTTCTTTTTCTAGAAATTTTCGTGTAGCCAGATGGAATGTTTCATTTGGCCGATAAAACCAACAGCCATATAACCATTTTTCGCCTCAAAAACAAAAAGAGGGAGAGAATTTACCATTAACAGAAACCACATACACTTTGCAAAATGAGCAAATACTTCATCCATTCTGTCATGGCCGGAACCTACCAATGTGCTTTTTTAGGCCACGGTTCCTTAATCTAATCATCTTAAAAGCAATAATACTTTAAAATAATGAAGTATAACAAGGTCTAAAAGTGCTGCTTCCCCCTCATATTAAAAGGTGTATGAAATACAGAATGAGGAAGGTGATGAGATTTGCTCTACTATGCTAGGGTCAGGACACAACTAAAGCTGTGTGCTTTAATAAGGATACAGATATACTGAAGGACATATTTAGCACTCAGGTGAAAGAATACAAAACTATTTCATATGAATGGCTGAAAGAAATGAATTGCTTGGATCACATTTCTGCCTGCTTTTGGCTTCGTTAACTCCCATTCATTCTTCATGTTTCAAATTAAAGGCAACTGTTCTAGGAAGCCTTTTCAAAATCAAATTCTAAGCCAAGGCACATGTCTCTCTATAATAATTTGTGATTTTTACTGAAGTGGTTTTGCCAGGGGCAAAACATGAGCCCTTTGTTCCTCTGAATCTCTGCCATCTTACAGAGTGTGGCTCATGGTGTATTTTTAATAAATAGCAGTTGAACGAATAATTCTCAATCAGACTTCAAGTAGTCATTACACTGCTTTTGATTCAACTATGCCACTGCTCCATAGTGCCAAATCCTATATTTTTCATATAGTGGGTGCTTATTTATAGATTGTAGAACTATTATTAGAAGATAAAAAATGTCTGAGTTATAATTTTCTTTCCTGAGGACCAAGAAGTAAAACAGTCACATTTCACTAACCTGTCCTTTGATTTAAAATAAACTTACCAGCAGAATCTTCCCACAGCCTTTCAATACAGACTATATGTGGTTGTAGGTTGGCTTCTGCAGGCTCCACATAGACATAATCTCCAACATGGTACATGCTGTTCTTAAAGCTGCAGTCTTGGCTGTATGTGCGATGTAAGCCTGAGAGACCTGCAGAACCTGAGGAATCTTCACTCTTTTCAGCCTCTTAGGTAAAAATGACAGAAGATTCTCATTAAAGGGATGTTGTAATTAGATGTAGGATTCAAACAACACATACTAATACATACTAATTCTTTTCTAGACATTCAAAGGCATGATTCAAGACAAAGAGTATCATATCCACATTCCCAATAGCCTCTATTCAAAATTACCTTCTTGAATTACAACCAACTGCCATTAATTTGAATAATTACATAAAGGATCTACAAAATAATTATTATAATAACATAAGCTCCATGTAGTCATTCTGGATACAGAAAGGTATAAGGAATTAAACAGTTCATTTGGAAATCATGTAATCCTAGAGATAATCTCATATGTACTTCATCTGCATCTTAATGCCTCAGAAATTTTTTTCTCTAATAGTTATTACATGGCTATGGCACAACTAACGGAATCTTAGAATTGAGGAAATATGCAATATGTACATTACATAATATACTATAAACTGTATATGTATACACTTAATATATCATGAACATTTCCCCTGAGATTAAATGCTTTTCAACAAGATTTTTATTTTTTTAAATAAGACTTTTTAATGAGTCCAGTATAAGCCATCATTTGCAAATACCATGTTGTGTTTATTTTATTTATTTATTTTTTTTGAGAATAAAGCTCTGCCCATATCTTTGATAAACTCCTTAGGATAATTTTCCATAAATGGAACAGCTGGAAATAAACATTTTAAATGTTTTTTAACACATATCCAAACTGACCCCTAAAAGTCTATACCAATTTAAGTCCCTCACTGTTTGGCTTACAAGGGGTCAATTTCTCCATTCTCTCTCTAACACTGGTATACTAGACCCTTATAATTTTGTTAAAGCTTTGCCAATTTTGGTGGAACATGTTATTTAGTAGTTCATTAATCAAATGAATCCCTGTAACATACACAGCTAATTCACAAGGTTCTTGAGAATTTTATACTGGTAGGAGTACTGTCAATTGGGCTGAAAGGGAATAGAGAGTACAAAATGAAAAAAGGATGTTAGACCCCCCAAATTCTAGAGACAGGAAAATAGGCTGATTAAATAATACAGCTGCAAACATGTGCTGCCTTTCATGAAAAAAAAAAAAAATGCTTTGGAGGGCAGAGTACTAAGCCTCAGAGGACTATTTCCTAGCCTCAAACCTAACGAAGTCTGCCTGGCTGGATTTCAAAATTGCTTGAAATTGATGGCTTTTTTCCCTTTCCATTTCTCCCTTTGAATGGGAATGTCTCTAATTGTTATCTTATTCATGTCCCATCACTGTTTATTTATTTATTTTTAGCTTTAAAGGTCCGCAAATGGAGAGGAATTGTGTCCCAGGATAGATCACACTCAGAGCCTCATTCATACACATAATTTAGATAATTTAAATAATGAAGTTTGAGTACCTGGTAGAAGAATGTTACTGTTAACAAATATCTAAAAAAATATGGAAGTAACTTTGGAATTGAGTAGTAAGCAGCAAATAAAAGAATTTTGAGGAGCATGACAGAAAATTTTCCTAGGTTGCCTTGAATAGACTGTTGGTAGAGAAACAGACAACAACTTGGCAGCCGAAGGCTCGGAGAGAAAATGCTTTTGGAAAGTGGAAAAAAGGGGATCCTTGTTTTATTTATTTATTTATGTGTGTGTGTGCGCGCGTGCGCGCGTGCGCGCGCAAGTGTGTGTAGTGGCACAAAACTTAGCAGAACTGAGTCCTGCAGTTATTTGATTCTGGGTCTCTTGGACTGATTCTTTAGTTATTTTTTTCTTTCTTCATTTCCATTTGTTGTTTTACTCCTTCGGAGATTTCTTCAACTTTATCTTCTAAATGTTTCCTTCTCTAAATGTTTCCTTTTTATCTTTGAAAACTTTTTAATTGAATACATTTAACATATAATATGTAAATATAAGGTGTACAAACGTTACTTTGAAACATGTATACATTATTGCCATTACAGCAATGTCTATCACATTACATGTTTATAGTACAATACTGTTGTCTATATTCATTATAATGTGCATTAAATCTCTATGGCTTATTTACTACTTGTTTCAAGTTTGTACTGTTAAACAACATCAATCTTATCCTCCCATTCTCTGTGATCATTTTTTAACAGCTTTACTGAGATATAATTCACACATCATATAACTTACCTATATACAATTCAATGGTTCTGGGTATATGTTTTGTTTTTTTTTAATCGTGGTAAAATATGTAATCACATAAAATTTGTCATTTTTGGTCAGCCTTTAAGTGTGTAATTTAGCGGCATTAATTACATTCACAATGTTGTCCAACTAAAACCACTATTTATTTCCAAATTTTTACTCCAAACAGAAACTCTACAACCATTAAAAATTAACTCCCCATTTCTCTGCCCTCTAGCCCTGGTAACCTCTAATCTACTGTCTCTGAATTTGCTATTCTAGGTACCTGATATAAGTGGAATCATACAATATTTGTCCTTTTATGTCTGGCTTATTTCATTTAGCATGTTTTCAAGGTTCATCCATGTTGCAGCTGTGTCAGTTCATTACTTTTTATGGCTGAATATTCCATTGTGTGTATTTATCACAATTTATCCATTCATCTGTCAACAGTTGAGTTGCATCTGCCTTTTGGCTATTGTGAATGCTGCTACCAACCCTGGTATACAAGTATCCGTTCGAGTTCCTGCTTTCAGTTCTAGAAGTGGAACTAATGGGTCATATGGTAATTCAATGCTTAGCTTTTTAAAGAACTGCCAAATTGTTTTCATAGTGGCTGTACCACTTTACATTTCCACTAGCAGTGTATAAGGGTTCCAATTTCTCCACATCTGCACCACTCCTGTTATTTTCCTTTTTTTTGATAACAGCCATCCTAAAGGGTATCTCATTGAAGTTTTGATTTGCATTACCCTAATGATTAACGATTTTGAGCATGTTTTTCATGTGCTTACAGCAATTTGTATAATTTCTTTAGATATGTCTATCCAAATCGTTTGCCATTTTTTATTTATGTTGTTTTGTTGTCGAATTGTAGGAGTCCTTTTTATATTCTGCTAGATACTTATCAGATATATGATTTGTGAATATTTTCTCTCATTCTGTGGGTGTGCCATATTTTTAATTTCCAAAATGAGTGTCATCTCTCCGAAGGTCTAAATTTTAGTTTAGTTTTATGTTTTTTCCTCCTGCTTTCATTTTATTTTGTTTCTTCCAAGGTAATTTTTCTTTTTGTTTTGTTCTCTATATCTTAGAGCTTTTCCTTAAATTGGTCCTATTTAAATAAATACCCGTTCCTATTTAAGCGTGAAGTGCTGTCTACGGCCATGCCACCCTGAATGTGCCTGATCTCAGAAGTTAAGCAGGGCCTGGTTAGTACCTGGATGGGAGACCACCTCGGAATATCAGGTGCTGTAGGTGTTAAAAAAATGAAAATAAAAATAAAATAAAAATAAATGCGAAGTGCTAAAAGTGATTAAGAGCACTCTATGTAGAGCTGGTTGACTGATGGATTTCATTGGAGGCCTCCAGATGTTATTGTCTTCACTTTTCCCCCATTGCCTGGTCCATTTCTCAAGAGAAAAAAATCTTCTGTTCTTGGAACTATAAGCCTGACTGTCAGCAATCTAGGAGCTATGTAGTTAAGAGGGCTAGGGGCCTCACTATTTAGTATAAATCCTTTAACAATTTCCATCTTCAGAACTGTAACCCTACCCTTAGGTCTTGCTGGTGTCCCTAGGTCTAGACTCTGCAGGATGAACAGTCATAGGGAGGGTTCAGGAGGTGATACGGAGGTTCAGTAACTTTAAATTTAGACTTTCAATTAATCCTCTGTTCTAAGCCCCACATGCCCCTCCATTTTCAGGAATACCTGAAATTCTTATCCCTGGGCATTTCTAGACAGGAAATGGCTTGCTTAAGATCTTCATCCAATGCAGGCACTGAAGCCAGTGTTAGCAATTTATCCATTCATTTTCTAGCTTTCAAATTTTAATTGCCATTATCTCTTCTTCCATTGTTTTCATATAGTTTTTTTGAGAAAGGAGAATACTTCTGTGTTTATGTCTTTTGTTTTAAAATCACCTTTCCAGCATTTTAGAAGTGTTTTAGGAAGGAGTAGCAGCAGGCACTTGTGTACTATCTTCCCAGTTTAAGTGAAAGTCCTTTGTGTTGTTTTATCTGTGCTTACTTATTCTCATGTGAGCAGTTAGTTCTGTATTTAATATAAAAGCAGTGTGTGAGATCTTATGTTTTCCCTCGGTTTCCATCGATTATTAAGAAACCTCCTCTATGGCTTAACAACAGAGAGGACTGATTTATACATCCACCATCCTACTTTCTGGTATTTTGCTGCCCTTAATATTCAAGAATTAACCTGACAGGAAGATCTGAAGCAGACCATAGTGCGCTAATGACTAGAAATAACTAGTTACAATAACGCTCAGAGTACCATTTCTACGGCCTTTCTTACTCAGTCCTTTCAGTGCTGACCTCGTATTCTATGGCAAAGCACCACTACTTACCTACTTCTAGTCACACTGCTGAGAAATATGGTCTGAGTTAGTGCAAAAAAAGAGGTATTAACAGGGAGGATCTGACAGCCTAAGAAAGCAGTTCTATGCAGCAGGGCTCCCCTTTCTTCTAGTTAGCAAAGGCCCTGAGGCTCATGAAATAGGTACAGTGATAGGAAAGGAATGAAAATCTCCTACTGTCTTTTTCTTTATGTGGCTCTACTATAGGTCTTCTTCAGATATTAAATCACTGGAAATATTTCTAGTAGCTAAAAATCAGTCAAGGGCAGTGACCAATAGTCTTTAAAATGTCAGTACTGCCTTTTTTCTAGAATGTACCACCATATCAGATAATGGGTTCACACACCTTGTTAATCCACCAAGAAAGGCAAGGTGTGTAATTCTGGCTCCTCCCCTCGTTAAATCTAAGGACTTATAGCTGTGATTCTCAGATTTGAGTGTGCATCAGAACCACCTATGGGACCTGTTAGAACATAGACTGCTGGGTCCCACCCTCAGAGTTTCTGAACTGGTAAGTCTGAAGTGGGACCACAGAATTTGTATTTCTGACAAGTTCTCAGATGATGCTGATGCTTCTTGCCTAAAGGCCACACTTTGTGAACTACCATGAGTAATTCAAGGAACAGCTGTCATTATTTTTGCATTGACGGGAAAAGTGTCAATAAAACTTTAAAAATTTCTATATAAAGTTTTGTAAGTAGAAACGTGGATCCAAACATTATATCCATTATAGCACTGGCATTTTCTGTTTTGTTTTGTTTTCCCCTTTCGTTCATTTCCATTCTGCTCTTTATTATTTCCTCTACTTCAGATTTGTTTTCTAATTTCTTGAGGTAGAAGCACAGATTTTTAGATATTTACTGCCTTTTTAAAAAAGATCTCCTATACACACATTTATTTACTACTAAAAATTGAAACAGCACATCAAAAAAATTGTTACAATTAAAATTTTTGAAAACCAGAGAATCTTGTTAAAGCATCCTGCTCTAACTACGCTCTAGTCAAACCACCCAATGTTTTCTTTTTTACATTCCTTCCACAAAAGTTACTTGCTTCTAATTCTTGGTGGTGGATTTTAACTTCCTGACTTCTGGCTTCTAAAATACACTGGCAATACTCAAGACCTATTAGTGCCACTTTGGGTCAGATAAAAAAGTGGAACTGAAGTATACTGAAGTCATTTGAATATAAACTACATAAACTCCTTATAAATTACTGGCATCAAAGTAGACATGAGATGCAAGAAAAAGAGACATTACAAAACTTATATCATAGGTTATCAAAATACTGGTATACAGTCTGTCCTAGCATAGATTAGTTTCCCCTAAGCAACTACTGCCAAGAAAAAAAAAACAAAACAGAAGAATAAGGTTTATGGTTAAATTGACTCCATGTTATAATTAGTCTCCATATTAATAGTATCAGAAGGATCTCTATGATATAGGCAATAACGACAACTACATCTAAATCTTCTGAATCTTGATCCAATCTCAGTTTTCCTCTCCTGTGGGTCTTTTCAAAGCTGAGACAGGGTGTAGTATCTAATAACTTGTAACATCTTTTACATCCTTTCTTTCTGAGCAGTTGCTAATATCCTTAATCTATGTCTCCTCCAAGGCATACTGTAGAGTATGCCTTGACCCAGCCCCAGCTCCTATAAGTTCTTTCTGTCCTGCTGTTGGGGTAAACATTCTGAAAGAAGGGAAGAGAATTTTGTACTAAAGTTGAGAGTCAAGTTAGTAACGTTCTTTGCTAGTATTTCTGAGACAGTTTGAGAGCCAGTTGAATCTTATTCACTGGGCATCTGAGAAGACTCCAGGGTCGAAGTTGGATTAAGTTTCTTTGGTGAGTCTATTGGAAGTCTAGTCACAGCCTGAAGCTGCTCCAAGATTCCCCAAAGGGTTCTAGCAGGTGATGTTCAAAACTGAAATTGTTGTAAAGTCTACTGCTTTCTAATATACATGTTTAAAGCTACAAATTTCCTTCTAAGAATCTCTTTAGCTACATCCCATAAATTTTAGTATGTTGTGTTTTCATTTTCATTCAGTTCAAGATATTTTAAATTGCCTTTGTTACGTCTTCTTTGATCTATGGGTTATTTATAAGTGTACTGTTTAATTTTTAAATATTTAGGGATTTTCCAACTTTTTTTTCTGTTGCTGATTTCTAATCTAATCCCATTGTATCCAGAGAACTTGGTATGATTTTCAATCCTTTTAAATTTTTTGACTTGTTTTATGACCTAGCATATATGGTCTATCCTAGATAATGGTCCATGAGTGCTCAAGAATATGTATACTGCAGTCCCTGGGTGTTTACACATTTACACGTTAGGTGAAGTTGGTTGACAGTCCTTGTCTTAGTCAGCTCAGGCTGCTATAACAAAACCCATCATACACTGGGTGGCTTTAACACCAAACATTAATTTCTCACAGATCTGGAGGCTTGGAAGTCCAAGAGCAAGGTGCCAAAGATTCAGTGTCTGGTGAGAGCCCACTCTCTGGTTCATAGATAGCTGTCTCCTTGCTCTTAATCTTATAATGGCACTAATCCCAACGTGGTGGCTCTACTCTCATGATGACATCCAAACTTAATTACTTTCTAAAGAGTCTACCTCCAAATACCATCACCTTGGAGATTAGGCTATAACACAAACATTCAGTCAATAGCAATGCTATTCAAATCTTCTTTATTTTTCCTGATTTTTGGTCTAGTTTGTCAGTTGCTGAGAAAGGAGTATTGAGACTATAATTGCTGACATATTTCTCTTTTTGATTCTGTCAGTTTTTGTTTCCTATATTTTGGCACTCTACTGTTAAGTGTGTTACATTTACGAATATTACATGTTCCCAAAGTCTTGACCCCTTTAACATTATGAAATGTCCCTCTTTATCTCTAGTATTATTTCTTCTCTCAAAGTCTATTTATCTGATATTAATAGAGCCACTCTAATTCACTGTTACTATTTTCATGGTTTATCTTTTCCCCTCCGTTTCCTTTCGACCTATTTGTGTCTTTGAAATAATTCTCTTATAGACAGCATATAGTTGGATCTTACTTTTTAAATACAGTCTAATAATCTATGCATTTTGGAGTGTTTAATCTATTCACAATATATAAGGTAATTATTGATATGACTGGATTCTATTTGCTTTTTATGTATCTTTCGTCTTTTTGTTCCTTTCTTCCTCCTCTACTGCCTTCGTTTGTGTTAGGCAAATATTTTTGGACTATCATTTTAATTCTCCTGTTGACTTTTTTTGCTATTTTTTTAGTGATATTACAATATGCATATTTAACTTATCACTATCTACTACTTCAGGTTAATATGACTTAATTTCATTAAATAGTGCACCTTCGCTCCAATACAGCGCCATTACTTTGCACTAGTACTGTCATATACAGTAAGTCCTTACTTAGTGTCAATAGGTTCTGCAACCTCAAGCAAAATGATGTATATCAAAACTAGTTTTTGATCGATACGAACAAGAATTAAGTTCCTATGGCATTTCATTAACATTATAATGAAATGGCGTTGAATGAAATGACATTATTCAAGAACCCGCTGTAATTACTTCTATAAATGTTATAAACCTAATAATGTATTGTAATTATTCTTTTAACAATCTGTTTTCAGAAGAAATTAAGTGAAAAAAATACAGACACAGTCTTTTATATTTACCCACATATTTACCATTTCTAATACTCTTCACTACTTGTGAATTTGATTTACCACTTGGTATCATTTTCTTTTGGCCCAAAGCTCTTCTTTTAGTATTCCTTTTAGAGAAGATCTGCCAGCAATGAATTCACTGTTTCTGTTTATCTGGAAATGTCTTATTTCAGCTTTATTTTTGAAACACTGTTTTGTTGGATATAAAATTCTTGGTTCAGTTTTTTTCCCTTTCAGCAATCTGAATATCATTCCATGCTTTTTGGCCTCTGTTATTTCTTATGACCCATTACCATAACATTGTTTTCTTGGACATGATTAGTAGTTTTGCTCCTTTCAAGATTTTTCCTTTAGCAGTCTGATTATGGTGTATCTAGATGTGGTTCTCTTTGGGTTTTCTTACTTGGTGTTCTTGGGGATGTAAGTTAACGTTTTTCATCAAATTTGAGCCATTTTCAGCCATTATGTGCTCAAATACTTTTCTCCCCCTTTCTTTCTCTTCTCTCCTCTGAAAATCCCATTGTAAATATACTAGGATACATGACACAAAGGGTTACTCTTAAATCTGCATAGCATAGCTAAGGATCAGCCAATGATTTAGGTGACGACCATACTCAAGTACCTCAAACTTGTAAGGATTCACCCTCTGATGACTGATCTGTATGTGGCTTGAGGGAGGCATTCAAAGTTGTAACCAACTTCCGAGTATCCCTTGCATTTTTCTTTTGTCCGATACTCATATCTCCCTTGCACATGCAGTTTTCCAGTTATCTAAGAAAATGTGTGGAGAGCTTATCTCAGCCCTTCTATGGCTAATTTCCAAGATATTCCTCAACCTCATTGTCACCTCAAGCTAGTAAAGCTGCAGGTTACTCGGTTCGTTTCTCCATCAATCACTTTTAGTTGGCAAGGATACAGACCTCCGCCCCTCCGCGCATCATTATCCTGAATGAGTATATCCCTCTGGCAGCAGAGTTGCTGGGTTTTACAGGTATCCTTATGCTGATAAAATTATTATTTTTCATTGAATAGGTTCCTCTTTTTTGTATATGCCCTTGCTTATGAAAACTTGCTAAAAAACCCCTAAGAAGCAGATTTGATGCTAAAGCCTAATATAACTCTTAGAAAGTCATTCTAGGTATCTATGTGAATTTGACCTTTATCAGAAATTACTGAATTTCTAATAAAAATTCCTACTGTCAAAATATTTCTAACTGCTGGCAAGTGACTCAAATTAACAGCTTTAGGTTGATACAATCAAAAAAATTTTTTCTCCTACTTATGAGGTTCAGCCAAAAAATCATTTACTTATCTGGCCTAGAGTCTGTACGAGGAAAGCCATGCTGCTGAATGATGGAGCAGAACCTTGATGCACTCACTGCTAAGAATGCTTTCTAGGTGGGCTCCCAGGTTTTCATATACCAATAGCAGTATTAAGAGGTATTAAGCTCCCATAATTGTGAATTTATTGACTCTGTTCCTGAAATATTAGGATAACAGCTGTGTCACATGTAACTTTAAATCTTTTCATCTGATGACTAAATTACTAAAAGCATTTTCATCTCACCATGTCTATTAAGAATCAACACCCTGAGTCTTCATTTACACAAATAAGACTCTTCTCCACAGCTAATTATAAAACCAGCTAGAAAAAGTATACTATTTCTTCATATTAATAAAATGAAGAGAAACCAACCTCTTTTTTCTTCTTCTCGTTTTAGTTTATCTTCCTCTATTTCTTTTGGTAATTTTTCCTTTTTCTCTTTCTCCACATCATTATGCAAATGCTTTGTAGTATAGCTGAGTGCTGGTGAAAGAAGGATCTCTCCATTTTTGCAAAGTTCATCACGAATTTTAATAAAAAACTGTTGAAGTTCTACTGCATCTTCGTATATTTCGGAATCTGTCCTATAACAACATCAAGAGTATCTATTGACACACAAATTGCTTCTTTTAAACACTGCAATTATATGTTAAATTATACTGAATGCTTCTTTAATGTGTTAGCTGATATAACGGTACTTCTGCACAGTTCTAAGAAGGGTATCTCCTTGAAATTCATTAGAACAGAATGTGAAGAGTCATTTTTCCTTGGTGAGCCTCATGCCCACTAATTTTCTTTTCCTGAAGGCTCGCTCCTTGCACAGCTCATGTAAAAGGAAAGGCCTCATTCAGTTTCCTGGGGAGAAACATGGTGCATGCAACCATTGGTTTTGGTAACAGAAGGGGGCTGCCAGAATCAAGGACTATACTAGGCTCCACACCATGCACAACACTTAATTTGCATCTAATCTTTGAATTAACTTTTACTTTCTCTTAATTGAGGGACCAACACATTATATAAAGTGTTAACAAAAGATTTAGGAAATGTCTACTTTCTTCTTTATGGATTTGTAGATCATGGTTGCTGAGGTTGGTACGACTCAGTTAAACTGCAAAGTCATGAGGGCATCTTATAATGATAATAGGTCTTAAAGTCAATGTTCACTTTAGTTATTTAGAAATAACTACATAATTCTGGGGAACCAGCAGAGGTAATATAGTGAGAGATGGAAAAAATAATCTGTATCATATTGAAAATTTAAGACTCTTTCCACATTTATAAAATGACAGGAGTAGGCAAAATAAACTTCAGAATTCGTAGTGAAAGAAATTTTATTACTATTTCTAATCGATTCTGGTTAGAAGAAGGCTTAAATATAATTCTATTAACTAAGAATACTAGGGTCTGAGAAATTATTCACAAAGGTAACCACAGACAAATTCTTAGCAGCAGTTATGGAGACATTCTGGTTAGGGAAATGTGGCAGGCATAGCAAGCCCGTCATCTGCCTTCTGACACTCATCACAGGAGCATCAAACATTAGTGAAGCCTCCAGAATGCTTCTCCTCATTTCAAAAAGTAAAATGGCAAACAATCTGAAAACACTGCCAATAACCACCAAAATGGATGTTCTAACACGGTTTTCAAAATATATTCTGGTTATTAAAATGCTAATACTTGAAGGAATGCAATCGAAATAAAACTGGCCAAGGGAATAAACTCGTACAACACTATTTTGATGACTATTTTCTGAATAGAACTATCTAAAGACTGTTCACTAGAAATTAAAACTCATTTTATAATATCTTACAATTTTAAGTATAATATTAAAAGTGAAAACGCACTTTTAGTAATCCGTGTTACAATGAAAGGGCAATGTATAATTCTATCATGTCACGTGGTTTAGTAATGAAAGTTTTATAGAGTCATTAAACAGCTAATATATCCTTTCTGTCTTATTTATTTAAATAGTTTATGAAGAATCTGTTAATCTAAGAGGCCAAGTGTTCCCTGCATGTCCAAGAACAAAAACTCAAGATAGAAAAAAAATAACTCTTATTACTCTTAATTGGTAGGTATTCCTTATATATAAGGCAGACATTCAGTAGAAGAAAATAAGATTGCAGGAGGTTCTGAGTGCTTCCCTTGTCTTTGTTTTCCCATGGGCCCCTTACCTGCAAGGAAGTCAGATCATTTAATCCAGGAATATTGCCAACAGATTAGGAAAAACCAAATTAGAGGCCAACTGGCACGAGTCAGCGTTGTACTATTACTGAATACTGCTGACGGACAAAACCACTGTCACATAAGTGAACTTTTCTCTGCTATGCCTCACTGTTCAGATTCTTTCTATTTCAGGGTGTGAAGTCCTAGGTGATGGGTAGAAGTGGTGGGTAGGAGTAAGTGTGAAAAAGCATTAACACTGTTAGAAATCAACATGGAAATCTACTGCATATGGACTTCATTAAATTCATGAACTTAAATACTTTTGGGACATCTATCTACATTACTGGCAATGCAGTAAATAAAGCCATGGTTTATCATTCACTAAACTGATTCACCTTCATCTCAGCAGAACGAGGTTATTACTAAATACTGTACATGATCTTTATTCATAACAATAAGAAAGGCTTCCCCTATGTTTGCAACAAAGCTCTGGAATCAGAGTGAAACTGATCACCATCTCATATAAACGAACTTTGGAATCTACCTCTGAGACCTCAAAAGAAAAACCAATCATGTCAACAACAGACGAATGAAAAGAGCTCATTTCCTAGAGATACAAATCTGCTTAATTCTTAAAATAATCATGTCACCTACACAAGATAAACAAAGTTGCTAATAATCCAAGAGACAAATGTATTTTGGAAGACTCACAGAAATGATCTCAAGATGTAATAGGAATGGGATGGGGAGTGACTTTACCCTTAAGGGTTGTTTATGTAAACTAAGAACAAGAACAGAAGTCAAAGCTCCCATGAAAGCAAGGTTTGTCTGTTTTGTCCATTGGTGTATCCCATGCATTCAGATAATGCTCACAACAAGTAAACACTCACTAAACATTTGTTGACTAAATGAAAACAATAAACGAATGTAGATTTTGACTTCAAGATGACCCCTTCCTTGGGTCTTTCTTTTTTATTTCTATCCCTACTGTTGAAGAATAAGAACTATTTCCTAAATGTGTCACTCAAGGGTCTCTCCAATCTGATCCCAACTCCACCCGTCCCTTGAACACACCATATTCATTTCCTAATCCTGTGCTTTTACTCATACTTCCTGCCCTATGTGAATCCTGCTCATTCTTTCATTCTTCCCTGATGCCTCAAGCCTTTTAGAACTCTAGTAGAGACTTCCTTACTCCACCACATTTACTAAATATCAAATTGTTATATGTTGTCTCGTATATTATTTTTCCCTAAGCATAGGTCCTATCCCACTTGTCAGGCTTCAAGCTTTCGAGCACAGAGCTCAAGTCTTATCATTCATGGCTGTGTTCCATGATTGGTGTCGGTAACTGTCTTAGTCCTAGCCCTCTACAGTGGGGAACAAGAAGAGCCACCACACTTACTAGTTATATGTCTCTTGACAACTTCTTTGTGCACTTCTTCACATGCAAACTGGGAAGATTATCACCTACCTAGAATGGCTTTTATAAGGGTTAGTGATTATCTACACAAAGTGCTTAGCACAGCGATTTACAAAGAGTAGGTGCTTAACAGGAACAGTAAACATTACTATTAATTTTTCTTTCAAGATCCAGAGCAAATGCAGGCTTCACAGATTCCCCAGCTGGAATTACCCCATACAAACTACCTAAAGGTCTAGCTTTCAGCATGATAGACTATAGGCTCCAAGAAGGTAGAGTTTGTATCTCTAATTTTTTACATTCCCCCAAGGGACTCCAAGAGCACAAAGAAGACATACTGTAATTGCTGAAGTGAAATTGTTGTAACAATCGAGTATATTATTATTGTGTGGCAAAGATATACCAAAAATCAAAATTAAAAGGGAATTTAAGTTTGATGGAAATTTAAATTTGATTGCTTCTTTTAGAACATTTAATGCTTGTAGAAGGCACTTAAATCTGAGATTAAAAAAAGCCTTCTTAGGTACCTAAAATGGTGATCAAATTTAAATGTCTAATCTTGATCAATACCTTAGAACTATTTTATTTAAAGCATGCTTGAACTGAACTCAAACTTTAAAAGAAAATCATGTTACTATTTCTAATTATAAAATTTTTATCCTTTAAAAAATGTTTTGTGAAAGGCTATATTTTAAGAGCTTATGCTTTGCAACAGTTTTTCAATTTTGTCTTACTCTCTCTTCTTGTTAATCTAGATGCTTTGTTAGTTCTGCTAATTAGAATTCAAAAGAGCACCCCACGAACCGTAATCATGTACCTAAGATAAAATAGTACATCAAAGCAGAATTCTTTCTTCTGTTTTGCAATAAATATCACACTTTCTCAAAAAGAAATGGCTTTGAAAACATACCGATTCATCCTTCTTGCCCTTTCCAATACTTCAAACATATGTTCTTGAAATAAATCGAGCCGCCGGTAGCGATTATTTTCAACATTCTTCCTAATTATGTCAAAAGTAAGAGGAGGTTTGTTTGGAAAGTTGGGATCCACAGCCGGAATTTATGCTAAGGAATCACTATAACATCTTCCCTCATCATCCTGATGACTCATGACTGACACAAAAAGATTGTGGATAAGCTCTTGAATTAGCAAGGTCACATTTGGGACATGAGAGTCTTCATCTCCCTCTAGGTCTCTCCGAGTTTCAAGCAGGACTTTGTGCAGGACAAGGGCATCTTTGTAGATCAAAGACTCAGGCTCATTGTATGTACAGGCATTGTTAAACATCATGACGAAGTCTTCAACCATGGAGTCTATATCTTGGTATTTGTTGGCCATCATGTGACTTCGAATTTTTTCCATGTCCATGGGCTTTTTAATGGTCAGATAATAGTCAGGAAGTTCAGATCTAGAGGGAAGCCTCAGAAATATGGCACTGAGGCGGCGACCCCTCTTATCAGTATAGTTCTTTACAGCTTCATAGACTTCATTTAGTTTCTGCTGCATTGGAGTCATGTATTTCGATTTTTTAGGAGAAATGCCACTCTTCCTACCTAAAAAAAAAGAGATCTAATGTTAAATGGATAAAATTTAAAAAATGAACCTAAATTTGTACATAGTTAGTAGAACGGGACTATTCCAAGTGATTTGTGAAACATGGTAATTAGCGTTATCTCTAGAGTAGTATATCCTACTGACAAACGAAAAAAAAAAAAAACCGGAAAAAAATGTAAACTATTTTCAGTAATCATATTTTTGGTGGGAAAGTAAGTACTGCTATGTTGAGATAGTAAAGAATGAGGTAGAATAAAGCAAATAAATAGTTATGTGACAATCTAATTCCATCACCTATGGTATCCTTGAGAACTGAGTTTCATCACGAGTCAAAAAAGAGAGATAGATGTTAAAACAAAGAACAATGAATAAAAACCTTGTAGCCTTGAATCTCAATTTAGAGTATCAGTATGAACTTAGTATGTATTTTATCTTTAAACAGAACACATATACACTCACACTTTCCTAGGTCTGTTTACTAAAAATCCTGGAAATAATGACCAACGCAGTAGCAGTATACTCTTATATAGTTTTGACTATACAGACTTTAGTTTTGAAATATTGATTTCAAATACTTATATCAGCAGCTCCATGGCAAATGGCTGATTCCCAGTCTACATAAGATAAACCTTACCAGTAACACTAGAAAGTAAAGATTCTATCAATGACTTCTTACCATAATAATGTCAAAAAAACACAGCAGCAAAAAAGAAAAGAAAAGAACATAGCAGATAGCCTGGGACAAAATGAACATCAATAAAGATAATAACTACAATGGGTTAAAATTTGACAATATGCTTAAATCTAGTAGTTCTTAATGATTTATAAAAATGAACAAACAACTGGGTAAATGTTAAAGGATGTTAGTAAACCAATGCATTATTTTGAAAACTGTAAATATAGGGAAAGCAAATCTAGCTTTTATCCTTTCAAAAAACAAAACAAGCAAAAAACAAGACAAACCATCCAAAAAACTGTACCACCAGGTAATCAAATACTGGATGAAGCAAAGTTTCTCTATATAGAAATATTCTAGCTAGTAAATAAGGAGTGACAACATTAAACTATCACTATTTTTACCTCTCTTTAATGAATTAATGTAATAAGCATCAATAACTATTAATATATGGACAGAAACAACCAGATATTACAAGCCACCTGATGGAAGACCATATATTACCTCTGAAGTTGGTTTTTGTGCCAAAGGGAGGAGACAAGGATCAAATCTAAGTCAAAATTCAATCAAGTCTCTGGCTCCAACTACCAATTTATAGGAAACACAAAAGACAAAAAGAACGTTTAACTATAGCAAAGGAATGCAATTAGCAAAACCCAGACTGTGGGAAACTATAGTATAAACCCACTTTATTCAACAAAGAAATTGTGAAGAAAAAAAATGAAAAAGAGAGATGGAGGGGAATTTATAGATTAAAAGAAACACTAATCAAATGCAATGTGTGGATCTTCTTTGGATTCTACCTCAATCAAACATTGTCCCAAGATTTGATGCAATATAAATGTAGAAAACCTATCATGAAGCAGCCTTGCCAAGCTGAAATGAAATCTAGTCAAGCCTTTAGAATTAATTTCCATTTTCGAGAAATAAAGGTAATATAAGAAAAAGTTAACTGACATCACAAGGAAGTGAACTCACTAACCCAGAACTTTGGACTGAACAAAAAAGTGACCTAGTTCCTAAACAGTCAATGGCATAAAGATAAAAAAAAAAGGAGGGAGACTGCTCTAGATTATGAGTTTAAGAGTATAACAATTAAAAGTATTTTTATATACGTGTGTATGTGTGTCTATATATATATATATAAATTTAATTAGATCCTGATTTGAAGAAACCAACTGTAAAAGTATATTTGTGAGAAAATCAGTAAAATCTGAAAATCTGTCAGGTATTAGACAAGATCAAGAAACTAAGAAATTGCTAAATTTTTTAGGTGTGATAATGACTTCACAGTTATTTAAGAAAATTCAATTGACCCTTGAACAACATGGGTTTGAACTGTGCAGGCCAATTACTTGCATATGAACTTTTTAAAGATAAATATACAGTTGGCTCCCTGTGTCCTTATGTTTCAAATCTGTGATTCAACCAACCTTGGACTGAAAACAGTATTTTCGATCCTGGATTGGGAATCTGTGTATGAGAGCTCACTTAAGTGATATGGGAGATTTTAGGCACACACCCCTAAACCTTGAGCTAATCAAAGGTCAACTATACCTGGATTTTATAGATGCAGGATAAACTATGTAGACATGATTGCATTTTCTTTAAAATAATTTAAAACAAAAAAAAAAAAAGAGAGAGAGAAAAGGGAATACAGGAAATAAGTATGACACAATCATGATAACGTTGATTTGTAACAAGTATAGTATACACAGATTCACTGTATCATTCTTTATATTTGTATGTGCTTAAAATTTTCCATAATGTAAAACAGAGAAAGGAAAAGGAAATTAACATTACACATGAAAATTCCTTTTAGGGGGTGGGGAGAAGATGTGGCAGGTTCCCTGAATAGCCCTGCCTGGGAGAGCTGTGAGCTCCACACAGCAGCAGTACCCAGGGAATGGGCTAAAGAGACACCTTTATATAATAGATCTTTTTTTCTGATAAAAAGAATACACTTCTATTAATGCCCAGGTGGAGAGACAGTCCATTAAATATCATGAAAAACCAAAGTGAAAAAACAGCTCCAGAAACTAAGCTTACAGACATAGAAATATGTGACTTAAATGACAGAGAATTTAGGATGGTACTACTGAAAAAATTCGATGAGATCTGAAACAAATCATATCAACAATTTCAGGAATTGAAAAAACAATTAGATGAGCAGAATGAGTTCTTAAGTTCTTGAGCAAGGAGACTGAAATCCTCAAAAACAACAACAACAACAACAACAAGAACAACAATAACTTCTGGAGATGAAGATGAAGAACACACTCAAAGAGATGAAAAATGAAACAGCAAGCTTAGATCAGTGACATCAAAGACAGAAATCTAGAAATAAAACAGAAGAAGAGAGAAACTGAATGAAAAGTAATGAAAAATAAATACAAGAACTAACTGACACCATCAAGAAAGGAAACATAAGAATAATGGGAATTCTCGAATGGGAGGAAAAGGAGCAGGGATTAGAAAACATTTTCAGACAAATAGTGGATAAGAATTTCCAAATTGAAGGAATAAGTGGGACCTTGGAATTCAAGAAGTCAACAGAACACCCAATTATCTCAACCCAAAACAGCCTTCTCCACAACACACTGTATTAAAATCATCAAAAATCAACGACAAAGAAAGAATTCTCAGGGCAGCCAGGGAAAAGATGATGATAACCTATAAAGGAAAACCCATTAAATTATCCTCAGACTTCTCAGCACAAACCTTACAAGCCAGAAAGGAGTGAAAACCAATATGCAAACTATTAAATGAAATGAACTACCAGCCGAGAATAATGTATCCAGCTAAGCTCTCCTTTAGATATAAAGGAGAAATAAAGACCTTTCCAGACATATAAAAATTGAATGAATTCTCCACTACGAGGCCTTCATTACAGGAAATACTCAAAGGGGGTCAGCTCACCTAGAACAAAATGACAAAAAAAATACATAACTATGTGTAAGGCAATTAGTAGGCAGATAGAAGCAGAGGAGTGCAACCCTTACTAAGAACAGGGCATTATAATCTTAAACAATAAGTAAAGATTTGCTATAGCAAGATAGTAATGAACGTTCAGCATACATAAGGACAAACGAAGACAACAATGACTGAAAAGGGGAGGATTCAAAGATCCAAATTCGCAAAGAGGACTGGAGATAAGGTACACAAAGGAGAAAATGGACTAATATATATATGTATGTATATGTATGTATGTGTGTGTCTGTGTGTATAACTATCTTCTACATATCTGTAATGGTAACTACATGCCAAAGATTCAGAAATGAAGTATATAACACAAAACAAGAAGGACCAGAAGGAAAATCCATAAAACCCAAACAAAATTAAGAAAACAGTCACACAAAGACAAGGAAGCAATGGAAACACTAAACTACCAGAAAGCAAAAGATAAAATGGCTGTAGGAAAACCTCATATTTCAATAAATGTAAATGGACTGAATTCACAAATAAAAAGGCACAGAATTGCAGATTGGATCAAAAAACAAAACCCAACCATATGCTGCCTCCAGGAGACACATCTCAGTTCCAAAGACAAATAAAGACTCAAAGTGAAAGGGTGGAAAATGATATTTCAAGCAAAATGCATTCAGAGAAGAGCAGGAGTAGCAGTACTGATATCGGATGAAATAGGCTTCAAAATAAAAAAGGTAAAGAAAGATACTGAGGGACACTACATAATGATTAAGGGAATCATACACTAAGAAGATATAATACTTAATAATATCTATGCTCCCAATCAGGGACCCCAGAAATATGTAAAGCCATTACTAACAGAATCACAAATACATGGAGATTAAACAACATGCTACTGGGTCAGAGAAGAAATAAAAAGAGAGATCAAGAGATACATAGAAACAAATGATAATGATAGTACATATCAAAACTTTTGGGACACGGCAAAAGCAGTCATAAGAGGAAAGTTCATACCATCACAGGCCTACCTCCAAAAACAAGAATGAGCCCAAATAAACAACCTAACGCTTCATCTTACAAAACTAGAAAATGAAGAACAAATGAAGCCTGAGCAGAAGGAAAGAAATAATCGAAATTCGAGCAGAAATAAGTGAAATTGGAAACAAAAAAACAATAGAAAAAATAAATGCAACAAACAGCTGGTTCTTTGAGGAGATTAATAAAATTGACAAACCCCTGGCTAGACTCACTAAAGAAAAAAGGACACGAACAAACAAAATCAGGGATGAAAGAGGGGAAATTATGACAGACAAAATACAACCTTCATAGACTGAATCAAGAAGAACTAGAAAATCTAAATAGACCGATCAGCAGTATGGAAATTGAAACCATTATCAAAAACCTACCAAAAAGTAAAAGTCCAGGACCAGATGGCTTCACCAGGGAATTCTACCAAACATTCAAAGAAGATTTAATACCTATTCTCCTCAAACTCTTCCAAAATATCGAAGAGGGGGAAATACTTCCCAACTCATTTTATGAGGCCAGTATCATCCTGATATACCAAAACCTGGTAAAGATGCTACTGGTAAACACACAAAAAGAGAAAACTACAGACCAATATCTCTCAAGAACACAGATGCAAAAATCCTAAATAAGATACTAGTGAACCGAACACAGCAACATATTAAAAAGATTATATACCACGATCAAGTGGGCTTCATCCCAGGGGCATTTAATGGTGAAAAACTAAAAATTTTTTCTTTAAGATCAGGAAGAAGACAAGGCTGCCCACTCTCGCCACTATTATTCAATATAGCATTGGAGGTCCTAGTAAGTGCAATTAAGCAAGAGAAAGATATAAAAGGCATCTAAATGGGAAATGAATAAGTCAAATTGTCACTATTTGCAGATGACATGATTCTCTATATAGAAAACCCTAAAGACTCCACAAGAACATTACTAGAAACAATAAACAAATACATTAAAGTTTCTGGATACAAAAATCAATGTTCAAAGATCCACAGCATTCCTATACTCTAATAATGAACTATAAAAAAAGTGGAAAAAAATTCCTTTTGCAATTGCAACAAAAAGAATAAAATACCTGGGAATAAATTCAACAAAACATGTGAAGGACCTGTATGATAGGACCCAAATAAAAAAAATTTGAAGAAGATACAAAGAAACAGAAAGATATCCCGCGTTCTTGGATTGGAAGAATCAACATAGTTAAAATGACCTTATTACCTAAAGCATTATTCAGATTTAATGCAATCCCTATCAAAATCCCATCGGTATTTTTTAAAGAAATAGAACAAAATATCGTCAGATTCGTATGGAAGCACAAAAGACCCCGACTCGTCAAAGCCATCCTGAGAAAAAGAACGAGGCTGAAGGCATTACTCTGCCCAACTTAAAATTATACTACAAAGCAACAATGATCAAAACAGCATGGTACTGGCAGAAAAACAGGCACACAGACTCGTGGAATACAACTGAGTGTCCAGAAGTAAACCCATGTTTAAATGGGCAAATAATTTTTGATAAAAGAGCCAAAAACATACAGTGGAGAAAGGAAAGCCTCTTCAATAAATGGTGCTGGGAAAACTAGAAAGCCACAGAATGAAAACAGACTGGTCTAATTAGCACACACCAAGATTAACTCGAAATGGATTAAGGAACTGTATATAAGATCTAAAACAATAAATTGCATAGAAGAATACATAGGAACTAAACTCAAGGACCTTGGACTTAAAGAAGATTTTATGAATTTGTAAAAGCAAAAATAAATGAATGGGACTACACCAAACTAAAGAACTTCTGCACAGCAAAAGAAACTGTCAGCAAGGTAAAGAGACAACCATCTGACAAAGAACTCATACAACTCAGTAACAACAAAAAAATAAAGAATCCAATTAAAAATGGGCAGAGGACCTGAACAGACACTTCTCCCAAGACATACAAATAGCCAACAAACATATGAAAAGATGCTCAACATTGCTAGCTATTAGAGAAATGCAAATTAAAACCACAAGGAGATACCATCTCAAACCTGTCAGAATAGCTGTTATCAACAGGACAAGAAATAACAAATGTGGGAGAGAATGCGGAGAAAAAGGAACCTTCATACACTGCTGGTGGGACTGCAAACTGGTATAGCCACTATGGAAAACAGTATGGAGGTTCTTCAAATAAAAAACTAAGAATTGATCTACCATAAGATCCGGCAATCCCTCTACTGGGTGGGTATTTACCCCAAAGAATTGAAAGCTCATATCCGAAAAGATACTTGCACACCGATGTTCATAGCAGTGTTATTCACGGTGGCCAAGTCATGGAAGCAATCGAAGTGTCCTACAACAGATAAAGAAGATGTGGTACACATACACAATGGAATATTACTCAGCCATAAGAAGAGATGACATACTACAATTTGTGACAATGTGGACAGACCTTGAGATAACCATGCTAAGTGAAATAAGCCAGACAGAAAAAGTTGAAAACCACATGATATCACTCATATGTGGGATATAAACCTAAAAGCGACAAAGGAATAGGACAAACAGAGACTCATGGACATGAACTATAGACTAGTGGTTACCAGAGTGGGGGAGGGGGAAGAAGGAGGTAGATGGGGTAAAAGGGATCAAATATTCGGTGACAGAAATCTAACTATGGGAGGTAAACACACAATGCAATACATATATATGCCTTACTGAAATTTAGTGAATTTCATTAACCAATGTCACTATAATAAAAAATATATATATAAAAAAATTAAAAATAAAATCTCCGTTTCTTGAACTTAATAATGTACATGTATTTATACATATTTAAAGTTACTGTTAAATTATCTATTTATCTATTTATTGACAGACCGATCAATCTTCAGCTTCCTAACTCAACTAATCTAATCAGTTCTAGTTTTAAAAGACTTTGTGTCTCTAAAAAGTAGAAGGTTTTCATTTCTGTAAATCGTCTGTATGCTTTTAGTTCCATGAAAAAATAAACAAACACCTTAACAAGAAGGAATCATCACTTAGCAATCATATCCAAAGCTATTGTAAAATTCAGCTTCAGCCATTTCATACAAAAAGCCAGGTCTATTTGTTTTTCCCCCTTTCAGTAAACATGGCTCTAAAAAATATTTGACAACATCACTACCATTTGTTGGTATTTACTTCATTTAGATTATTTAAATAAGGCAGAAACCTCTTGTTTAGCTCAATGGTATTAATTACTTTTACTGTCTTCTCTTCCCTCATAGTTTTTAATATAACCACCATCTATGGAACACATTCAAAAGACAGCTGACTTAATTTCCAGTACAGTGGTTGGACATTTCTAATCTCACAAATTCTGTCTAGGACAAGCTGGTGGGACTCATTTTTAATTTTAGTAATCAGGAAACAAATACACAAAAACAAAATCTGCCACCATACTCTTCTATTTTCATATGTAGAAAAAATATCCATTCTTACTATTTAACATTTACAAAATGCCCACCACATTCAAGAAAGTAAACAAAACTGATGACATTATATTCTATTCTCACATGCTTTCTATAGTTGGCTTAAAATATAGAAGAGAATGCTTGAGAGAAGAGAAGAAACTCCATGCTAGAGTGCAAGTTCAAATATATTCACCAATTAAATATTATTTCAGTATACCAGTAATCTATCCTTGATAGACTACACTAAATAACAAAGTATGAAGCTGCCTTACTCAGCTTGAGTTTGGGAGAAGCCATGTCATCATCATCAGGCAGAGGGCCCAGCTCTTTCCTTTTATCCTTGAGTAACTTCTCCAGGATGTGGGCATCGTTGTAAACCTATATTCCATAAATATATTTAAAATGAGTTTTTAAAACACTTCCTACTGAAATATAATATACATTCATAAAGAAGTTTTAAAAACATAGGTTAGAATAGTTTGGAACTAAAGAAATAAAGTTTGAGATCGCTACCAAGCAACAAAATCACATCTCTGTGAGGTGGGCCTAGGCCTCACTTGGTTGTTAAGCTTTCCAGGTGATTTTAATATGCAGCTATGCATGCTAACGTTTGAGAACTACTATAATAGGATCATTTTACATTTCTACAGAAGTTCTGAAACATATTTATATTTACATGTGTTGTTTTCTTCATAAATCTCTCTTCCACTGGACCCTCAAAGTAGCAGACTTAGCTCAATGAAAATTAAAAATATCTGTTAGTTGGAGAGCACTATCTCAAACTCCATTTTAAAAGGAAATTAGCATCAGTGTGAGTTTATCGTCTGGAATCTGATCTGTGAAACGCGACAATCCTTGCTTAGGATCTTTCTCTCCGAAGACTACGTCAAGGGTGGTATAATGTAGCTGAGAATAAGGTTAAACACCCACTGGTCTCCCACTTCCCCTGCGGAGGCTCTGTCCACCCTGACTGGCATCAGAGCAGAGGGCTGAAGGAATAAATGATCTCTCTTCTTTGACCACCTCTTAAGAGTGCCTTTTTTTCTCTACTCGTGGCAGAAAAGGGCACATTACTCAATGACACTGAGGACAGTGTAAACTCCTACAACAGAACCATTTCTTTGATCATAAACACCCTCAGTGCCTACTTTATTTCATAGTCAAATATAGTAGAAGAAAGGAAAAAAAAGATTTAAAAATCTTATTTTATTTCTGGGAGATTTAAAGTAGATAAAGAAAACTCAGTAATATATATGCACCCCCATCCATGTTCACTAAAATAGCCAAATATGGAAACAACCTAAGTGTACAGCAATGGATGAGTGAATAAGGAAAATGTGGTGTGTGCGTGTGCATGCAAATACTATGCATGCACACGCATGCACACGCACACATACAAATACTATTCAGCCATAAAAAAACGAACTCCTGCCATCTGCAACAACATAGATGAAACCTGAGGGCATTATACTAAATGAAATGTCAGAGAAAGACAAATACTATATGATTTCACTTATATATGTAATCTAAAAACATAAACAAAAACAAACAAAAAAACCCCCAAACCCTCCGAGCTCATATATACAGAGAACAGACTGGTAGTTACCAGAGGTGGGGATTGGGGGTTGGGTGGAATGGATGAAGTGGTGCAAAAGGTATAAACTTTCAGGTATAAAATCATGGGGACGTAAGGTATAGCATGATGACTACAGTTAATAATACTGTACTACGTATTTGAATGCTGCTAAGAGAGTAGATCTTAAAAGTTCTCACCATAAGAAAAAAACTTTGTAACTATGTATGGTGATGAATGTTAACTGGATTTACGGTGATCATTTAACAGTATATATAAATACTGAATCATGTTACATACTTGAAAGTAATATGTCAATTATATCTCAATAAAAAAAATTAAAGGATTTGAAATAGAAAAAATATCAAAGAATGTCTCTTAGCTATATTGATAAAAAACTGAAAACCAAGATACTTCATAACAAAATCAATTATTTAGAGGTGCATTTATGGGAATATTATCATTCTTATATTATCATACCATTTTATAGACAATCCTTGAAGAAGTATGGCTATTGAGAAGAGTAATAATGATGATGAAAGATTTTAATGCTGTTGTCTTTCATTTGAGTGTTTATTCAAATCCCAGGCACTGTTACATGCTCTGGATACATTATCTCATTTAGATCCTACAACCACCCTGATGCAAATACCATTATCATCCCCAACTCACAGATGAGAAAAATGAGGCTTAGAAAAGATAAGTAACTTACACAGGAACTTGCAGAACAGGATTCAAATCTAGGATTACAGAGTATAAACTTTTAAACTTTATAATGCACTGCTTCTCATTTAAACATTTAAAAGAAGACAAAGTATTAAGCTAGTCACTGAGAAGAATAACCTAAGTTAGGACTCTAGACCTGGTCTCTCAAAATGCATTATTCCACAAGCACCCAAAAGAAAATGTGTCTACTCCAGGATTTTTATACATTCTTACCTGGGAACCCTCCTCGTTATAGTGCCTGGCATTCCGGAACATCAGCTTCATGTCTTCTATCATACCTTCTTCTCCTGCATATTTGTCATTGCGGATGTTATGCTCAATTATTTTCAAGTCCATTGGCTCCAAGATGATTTTATAATAATCAGGATAGTCCTTTTTGGATGGTTTAACCATAAACAGATCACAAAGTCTTCTGCCTGTACCTGGTTCACGAGCTTCAAGAACAACATTGAATAAGATTTTCATTCGCTGCTTTCTTATGTTCTTTTTACTGTTAGGAGTGTAGAAAAGGGAAAAAAATGAGAACAAATTCAGGTTTTTAAAAAATATATACATATACAAGTGTGAACATGAAATGTTACGAATTAATCTTATGGGCAGGTGCTTCATTATGATTATAATTTACTGATTACATATGCTATAAATATAGTAAACATGCTGCAAGCTATGAACAAATACTAGGAAAATTTCCAAAATCATTAAAACATAGTGACTATGGCAGGAGCAGCCAATGAACACCAGACAACCTGTTTAGAATATTTATGAAATACAATGCTTGAAAAAAGATCTTGTCAGACAGCCAAAGAAAATGAAATCTTATTACCAACTGAAATATATTTTTTCATTTTTAATAGAGCAAAAGTGGAAAGCTACTGATTCTCTATTGCTTTTAAAAGTCTTTACTAAACAAACAAAAAAATAAACACACAGACAAAAGATGTTTAATCTCTTAAGACAACCACTCTGAATACCTGCACATCCCAATACCAGAAAACAAAGGGAGGCTGTCTGCCAGACTAGTGTCTCTATAGTAGGTACAAGTCTCTCTTGCATTTATCCTGTCAGAGTCAGTCCTTGCTCCTTCCCTCTATCAGTTTTATTCCACAATACCAACCTAGCTTAAAGAATAAAGGGTTTGTGGTTCAGCTGAGCTTTTGAGTAATTTTCATCTTTGAATCCCTGTTTTCTTCTCCAAATTTTCCTAGTGAGACGTGATGCTAAGAAACAGATGTGAATAGTATGAAAAAAAATACAAGGGACCAAAGATTAGAACATGAGTTCAAAAGGGGCCCATAAGAACACACAGACTAATCTTCTAATTGTTGAGAAAACTGGCTCAGAGAGGCTAAATGACCTGCTCCAAGTGAGTAGTCCAGTGAATTATTAGAAGAGATAATCTTCAAATATGATTTCTGGCCCACTGTATGTCTTCAGGACACTGATAAAATCTAGCCAGATTTGAACCAGCATTCTCCAAGTGAACAGTCAGGTAGGTAATAAAAAGAAATGACTTATATAACTTAGTTTCTAATCAACAGACACTTAAGATCTTATAATGTAGTACTTAGAGATAAATATTTTTTTATCTGTTTCCTATCTTATAAAGGGAAAGAAGCTCTTTCCTGAAGCAAACTATGTGGCTGAATGGCTCTCCTAGGTCCAGTCATCTGACCACCACTCACTCTACTGCTGGGTCATGAAGAAGTCAAAGGCTAGGTATTTGCTCTCCAAGGTTCAAAATATGCTTTTTTTAAAAAAAGAAACAAAATTCCATAAAGAATAATTAACAGATAACAAATATCTATCCTTAAGTCAAGAATTTAAAATGTCTCAGAAATGTGTATCTTCTTAGAATCATGGGGCTCAAGGGAACCTGAAAGTGATTCTTTTAGGAGAGAAAAAGAACCCTTGTCCTAGGGCTGGGATCATCTTCATCACCTGTCTCTTTACTCAGACTGCTCATTTCCCTTGGTGGCCTGGGATCATCCTTGCTATTTCCTCCTCTTCAGTATTTTTGTGTCTCTATGTCAAGTAAGTGATTGTTAGATGATGGCAATCTACGAGTAGTTTGATTTAGCGGAGACTATTTATCCAAAGAGGTATCCTGGGGCAATGATGTGAGAGGAAGAGTAATCTCAGTTTAGGACTTTGGCAAGTGGATAATGAAAGGGGAAGTAGGGACAAAGCTCCAATACCAGAGTTCTACATCTAGGTAGTGACTAGGAAACAGATGACTTTAACTTTCAGGAAGCCTCTAAAGAAAAATTTCAGAACCTGAATCTGGTATGACGGAATACCTAAAACTACTAAAGTCAAATATAGTTTCTTTATATCTCGATTGTGAGGGCTGAACTTCAAAAGGAAGACTCAAGAATTTAATTCTGAAACTCTGAAATTAAAAGGTCTCTTCAATAATCAGTTCAGAATGAAATCACTCCTCATTCCAGGAATACCAAGCAAAACAATTTCAATTAAGGCCCTCATCTGAAACAAAAGATCAGTTTTGTTTGCTTCCTGGTTCTACCACATCACTCCCATTACCATTAGGTTTTTCTGTATGAAACTACAAATACTCTAATCTGACAGTGAGTCTAGGGTAAATTTTTACAAGATTTTTTAAAGAGGAGGAAAACTTTTAAACTAAATTTTAGGGAAAATGTCAAAAAGTAAAAGAATGGCGAGTGGTTGGTCCATTCTTCTACCTTGAATATCTCTGGCCTTAGGCAACTCTGAATGGGACATACTCACAATGTCAAATTTAATTGTGCTTAAGAAACTGCTCTAATAACTGAAGTTTACTGTTTTAGGACTTATATTACTAATAGCATCCTTTCTCCATTTACATCATTCATGCTTTAAGAGAGTGATGTGTAACTGGTTTCCATCCTCAAAGACAAGCAAAACTTTTGTTATTCAGGTCACTTAGTGATCTCTGACAAATCCAGTTTTGTTATTTTGTTTACATTTTTCCAGATTGTTATATTGCCTTTGAGACTGAGCCACTGGTCCATTACTTTTAATCTGGCTGCCAGAAAAAATGCAGAGCTAAACTTTCTTCTCTTTTATAATAACTGTATTAGATTGAGTGGCTGGTATATTTGCTGTATCTTTTTCCAATATGGATGTCAAACCTTATTATCCTATGACTTTTGAAAGTAGCTTCAAATATTTTTTGAAATGAGATAAACTTTACATAACAAAAAAAAGCTATGATATTCCCCTATTTGACATTTTCTAGTTACTGTTTTCAATTTCACTTTGCTTTTTAGATTCTTTCTAGAAACCTTCTATGCATGCATCCTACTGCTCGTCCTCTCTCTGACTGTAAACTCTTCCCCATTTTGAGAAAGGTGCATAAAATTAAATCCCAGACCTGGTAACTGGCATACTCATTCTTATTTTAATCAGAATCTTTGAACACAATAAGGTAAAATATATTTTAAGGGAGTTCAAAACCAGGGCTGTTTATTGTTGTGGACTTAAGGCAATGCCGATTCAGATCACATACATTGTTTTAATAAACATACAATTCTAGAATTTTATAGGAGATAGGCCATAAATGGTCCTATGCGAACAAAATCAGAATATTACAGAAATTTTCCAACAAATGAAAGTCAAGTATCTTGAGAGATGGGTGCTTTTTCTAATTTGCACAAAGATTATAAGCTAGTAGAGGCTCTGTTCTGTATCCCTGGTTTTCCAGGACCACCACCAACATCAACCTCCTGATTCACAACCCAGCCTGACACTGGAATTATCGTTACTCTTTGTTTCTCTTAGTTTTCACCAAGTTTAAGAGGAACTCCATAGCCCTTCTAGATCCAATCTTTCAATTTTTCACATCACAGTGTTAGTACTAACCTTCGTACTTTGTGGCTCACCATTTTCTCAAATATCCTTATCATTATTCTTCCCCTGAAACTATTTATTATTCTATGTATTCATATTTGTATATATACACATAAAAGTCATAGTTATAGCTAACACTTCTATCATATGCCAGTGACTGTTAAGCACTATAAATACATTTTCATTTAATTCTCAAAACTTTGAAAATCAGGTACAATTTTCCCAACTTTGTAGATGTAAAAACAGAGGCTTAGAGAGGTCAACTGAATGCCTAAGGCCATAAAATAAGTAATCAGAAGTGAGATTTGAATCACCTGATAAACACCAGGCTGCTTTTATCACGTCTTTCCCTTTCCCAAGTTAACACTTACCAAGAGCCTGTCTAATCAAAGTCAATTCTGTTTATAGGTTTCAAGGTATCCCAACATTTAAATCCCTGTCCCTAGAGTTTCAGCGGTGCCTGCTGTTAAACTAAGTAAAGCCAAATGGCTCTCTTTTATAAGGCTTGCTACATTTTATCTTCAAGTCTTCAAGGAATAAAACCTTTCATTCATCTTTTCTAATGTGTTTTCCCAGACTAGTAACATTTGCCTAAAAACAAAATGAAATGTACTTATTTCAAATCCTGATGTCAACAGAAACTACTTCCAGAAAATAATCAGAGCTACATTTATTGAGTATTTACTGCATCCAGGCTCAGTTCTAAGGGCTTTAAACATATTAATCAATCAGGTCCTCACAGCAATCCTATGCAGGTGCTGTCATCAAGTCTTTGTTCAGATGAGGAAATCTGAGATGAGGCTCAGGTCACAGTGCTAATAACAACTGGCATTTGAACTTGGAGAGTCAGGCTATAGAACTTGGGGTTATAACAATACTCCACAACGCCTTGCATTTCTATTTCTACTACTACCCAGAGTCAATGCCATACACTGTGAATGATATGAAAGAAATACAACCTATGACCTTTAAGAATTTACTAAGGAAACTTTTAAGAAAAATATTAGGAAGAAGATAATGATAACACAGTAATTATGAAGGGTGGACTACATATGGTAGTAACATGTAGATAAGTTTAGAACACCTAACTTCCAAGGAAAAGCATGGTAGGGAAATCTTATTTCCTAAAGCTATTTGGGCAAGTATGCAACATTTCTATACAACTATATAATTGTGTACCTTAAGTAATTATTTTAGTATATTGCTCCCACATAGTTTGATTTTTAACTTGACTTTTCCTAGCTAATAAGTTCCTGGCAGGTAGAGAAACTAAATGCTCTCCTTTATGACCTGTAAGAGCAGAGTTTGGTGTTCTGCAAGCTACAGACACTCCATGAATGCCAGATGACAAAGGTAAAAATAAAAACACCACACAATGATTACTAGGACAATAACATGGCAACTCATAGGCTGTTTTTAAAATCATAAGTAACATGCTAAAGAATGGATGCTTTTAAAGAAATAAAATACAGACAAGATCAGAGACTGAGGAAATGTATTTATGGCTGAGAAGCACTAACCCAATGATAGGTGCCAACAAGGACTGACATTACTTGGATTGTCAACACTGATTTTAATCTCTCTGCCATTCCACAGTTTATAAAAGGCATCTCTGAAAGGGAATTAGCACTCATTAGGCCCTGAAGACCAGCAATGCCACCATATTCTCAGCCTCTACCTTATGCGGCAGAAGCACAGCCACAATGATTGGTGAGAGGGCTTGCTGCCCCCAGCCAAACTAGCAACAAATTAAGGCTCCTGAACATATCTAGGCTAACTAATTCTGAATTGACTTTACTAATTATATTTCTAAGTTATACTTTCTTTATTCATAAAATAAACTGGCACCCAAATAAAACTTATTTCACACGCTTAAGGCTTGACTTTTCACCTAATCAGTACTGACCATACCACAGAAGATTATACTTTTAAAAACATGTTTATGCATAAAAAAGGACTGCACACCTGGATAGCCTCCTGAGACCCAACATCTCACTGTCAAGAGTGTTCCTGGGAAAGCAGAAACAAACATTACATGTGAAGAGAAACAAAATAAGCAACATTGGAGGGTCATGTATAAACCAAATATGGTTGAGGAAAAAAGGACTCTTCAATCCAAATGACAAAAGATATTAAGAACACTTGGAACATTTCAACATGGAAGAGAGCACACAGATTTTTGGGTAGAGGGATGGGGGAGAAGAATGCACTCCCAGAATGGAAAGAACATACCAATATTAATTTTTCTCACTTTTTTTAACATTAAAAAATAATGCAAAGATAGAAACATACACAATACTTAGGAGTCAAACCAAGTGGTACTTGGTAAACTTGGCCCTGACTTCTCTGGACAAGCTTAACTTAACTTACTAGGTTGCTGTGTTTGCCTAAATTTTGGAGAAGTCTATTTCTTATTACCAAAACCTCTTAACGTAACTACCTTCTAAAAGGCTCATTATGTTACTTCCTTTGTCAAGTCCTAAGTAAGCTCAGGACCTGCTTCTATCAACCTCTTAATCATCCACTCTTGCCTGTATTTCAAACCCGAGTATGTTCTTTTACTGCTTTAGCCACGATTTTTATTTGTTCTTCTCTTATTTTTCATTTTATTATACAAAACATTTCCTAGGAAACCTATTCCCAAAGGGACTTTTTTTCTGAAGTAAGATTTTGTTTCAAGAACATAATGCTCAGTTTTCTTTTTACGGGAGGTTTTAGAGTAATGTCTTTTATTTAATCTACTTGGGTTGTCCCACAAACTACATGCCAGAAATAGGTAATTTTAAAGATCTGGCCTGAGTTAATGCTTCCTTAGTACTGTTTTCTTAACACTTAACTAGTTTAAGATCTCTCTTTTCATCTAGTGTTGGCACTAACTGTACCATCACTTTTGCCTCCATTACCTTCTTTTGCCTGAGAAGTTTTTATCTTTGATTGGTGACTGATCTGGAAAACACAGGTGATGCTGTAGTAGAGTTATATAATTACACTCAAAGATGTTCTTGATTTGATGTCTCTGATCTGCTTTCACATTTTTCCTCCGTTGTCCCTGGTATAACAAGGAATTAAGAACTTGGAAGGATGAAATTCATAGGCCAGTAATGGAGGAGATTCACATCTCAGGGTACACCAATCAATTAGTTACCATGGCATAGCATAGCAAAGTTATTTTTGAAGCTAAAAAAATTTCCCCAAATGCTATTTATAAGAGGGTAAGACAAGACAGCTTATCTTTTCTAGACCACTTTTTAAATCTTCTGATCTTAGTGGATCTTTTAACGCATGAACTGAACTGTATCAACAATTACTGATGACTTCTTCATTCAATTTTTGAATCTTTGAATTTTTGAGTCAAGCCCCACTATTAGTGCTTAGGTAATTCCTTACTTAAGGTATCCTCCCTGAATTGATTACTGCTAAAAAGATGGTGAAATAGTTAAGGTTGAGGGAGAATATGGTGTTCCACAAAGATCAAGTTAGAGAAACTCCATGTAGGAGGCACAGACAAAAGAGATGATCTTGCATGATTTTTTATAGGATTCTAGCTTCAGAATCTCACAGTAAGGTCTCCGTCCATAAAACCCATGAGAGAAAGAAAGGGTTAGGAAAGTTGAGAGAAAGGTTAGAAAAAAAATAAAACCAAATATTTAGCTTAACATTTTATGAACTACGAGAAGTTATGACTTGGTATTTTACAATCTGACATCCTTAAAATGGCAAATAAAGATCAGATTAACAAAGAAAAACAAAGGGGTTAAAGGTAATTACTTCACTACAGTGATGGTATCGATTTTTATAATTTACCATGTAAAAATTGCCTAAATTAGATTTAAGTGGCATCCTTTAAATGCCACGTTAAAACAAAGTAACCTGGACAACAAAATGAATAACATGTTTTGCCAGCCTATATATGTAGTTGTCCCTTTTATCTATATCATTTGAAAGCAATATGGTACTTACACAAAAAGTGCTAATCATACAATTTACAAATGAATTCTAAAAGACATGATACCAAATATTTAAAGCTTATAAGAGAATTCATATTTGATAGCTTAAAAAAAAACCATTTTCTATATTTATCTAGAATGAAATAAATAGAATCTGAGAAGATATCTCCAGCTATAAGAAGAGTATATACCTTTTTCTTTTGGCGCTACCAGTATCAGAGGTGGCTGAAGAGATCATGCTGTCTCCATCCTCAATGTCGTCTCTCCTGGCAAGCTCCTTCTTCTTTGCCTAAAACAGAGCACATCCCAGGAGTCAAGCTCACTCTGCTGAGCACTCCTAGAATATATGAATATTAAAAAGCTAGACATACCAGATTCACTCAGAAAGATCTAACCACACATAGGATGTATAAAATTAAAGTCATTAAACATTTTCAATAACCCAGTTTAACAAAAGCCTGCGTGACAAAAAAGTAGGTTAAGAAAATGGATCCAGAGAGTTGAGTCAACACTAGCGAAACTGCATTTAATACTACAAAGGGCACTGATTTGTTAAAAGCACTGAGGCAAGTTGTAGGGGCATCCTGCTCTGCTGGCCACATTTGAGTAAGGCCAACTCAAAGATGGCCTTTGGTATCCTTGACTTAAGCAACAGTACGGCTAAGGAGAAAGTCTGATATGAGAGGTGAAAGATCTACTTTCATCACATGCATTTTCAAAGGCCTTCTGCCAAACAGCTGAAAGCCAAACTACAGCAGACATGAGGCACACACACAGAATACTAAAAAGGCAATACTTGAAACCTGCAGCACTGATCACAATGTTGACCATACAAAAAGGAAGATTCTACAGGTGATCTAAAACTGCTTTTGCTGCTTCCTTGCTCTGAGATTCTCTTTCTAGAAAGATTCTATCAAACACTGACAGGTAGATAATTTTTATTTCATATCTATGCCTTTCTGTCTCAAAACCCCTAGATGACCTGTGACCTCAGATATCCTCCAAGGTGTTCTCTCAGAAAGGATCTGATAAACTCACGGACATTGTACAATAATTAACTAGCCCTAACGTGCTTTTTCTCCTAGAACCAAACTTACCTCAACAGAGACCAAGTCTAGAACCACAGATATAAAATTTAAATGACAGAATACCACCTATGATTAGAGAGAAACTTCCTGAGGACCCTAAGATCACTCCCCAGACACAAACCTCCGCTTCTTCTACCCACAAAGCTAACCCAGTCTTAACTATTATTTCTATTCTACATGGTGCTGATGACTCTAAAAAAAATACTCAGCAGTACCTGCGGCTGAAACAAATGATGTGATGTTGCTGAGAGAAATCACACATCTTAAAAACACATTCAAAATGTGTAAGATTATTTCAGTAATACATTCAACAACTTGGCAAAACCAAGAAATTCTACCTGCATGACTTGCTGCAATTTTAGAACTCGTTTGTAGATAGCTGAATTGGGAACATTATAGCGTTTGGCATTTTCAAACATTAAATTCAGATCGCACTCCAAATGATCCAAAGTTTCATATTCTTGGTTCTTTAGCTTTGTTCTGTGAAAGACAAACACATGGTTAGAATTTTCCAGTATGAAAATTATGAAAAATCCTTCCTGAAAGTTCAGTGCAAAAATCCTGATAAGCAATAGATGGTATCTTTACTAGTGAGACTCATGAGTGGCCTGGAGTGACAATTTCAAAATATAAAGTGAGGAGACAAAAATACATTATATTTAGGCATTATGACAGTTTAACTGAAAATCCAAAAGAACAAACTCAAACATTACAAGAAGTAATGAGAGGACCTAGTAAGGGGTAAATTACAAATACACTTGCAAAAATCTAATGGAAAAATCCTGTTAGTGGCAAGAAGAAACAAAAATCAGGGAGGCTTACTAAGCTATTCTAATCAAGAATCATGGTAATCTACCCACTTCTGAAAATCAGAGGCCATTTCAGTTCATGAGGGTTAAAGAAAAGAGAAAGTACTGGCCATATATTGAAGGAGCATTTAGAATAACCTATTTATCCCTAGAGTGTTGTATATAGACAATAAAGAGTGGTCTTAAGACAGTAAATCAGAGGTAGATATGTCAGAGTCTATTCACTATTATTCTTCCAATACAAACATTTGTAACTAATTAAAATTAAGGTTTTAAATTATTTTACTCAAAAGTCTTAAGAATTTTGATATTTCAGAATGTCTTTCAGACACATGGTTATTACTAATACCAACTCCCATAAAATCCCTATATGCTTTGTACCAAGTGAATGGTCAAGGTTTGCCCTAACTCTAATTCTATTTGGATTTAGACAGGATAGACTGAAATCTCTTCATCGAAGCCCTTGCATGCTATCTATAGAAGCCACAAAAATAGTATTAAGAACCACCATATATATAAACAGCTTCACAGAATACATGTAGATTCCAGACTTTTCTCTTATAATGGCATCATGCATTCTGTATGTAAAGTTTTACTTAAAATTGACAAAAATAATATGCAGATTCCATATAGTACTTAAGGAGATATTAAAGTTAGAGAACGTCTCTAGGATGAAACAAAAAACAACTAAGCACAAACTCAGCTCAGTACCAGCTTACGTAGCTAGCATCTAGAATTTAAATTACAGCCTCAGACTTCTTCCTGCTAACCCCAGGATAATGTGCTAGGGGTCCTCCACACCCACAAAGAACAGAGAACCCAAGTGTATAAATGACAATCTATAATAAATCATAATTTATCAGACTGATGTTAATCAAGGATAGTGGGGAGAGGGAAGGGCATCATGGAGAATAAAGGATGGAGCCACGCTGTCCAGCTCCTGCCCATCTTGCATTTTTGTTGCTTTTGATGACACTCAACTATCTTTCTTCTGCCAACAAATCTTCCCAAGACTGTGTTGTATAATATAGTAGCCATTAGCCACTATTTAAATTAAATAATGGCTATTTAAATCAAAATTTAAAAAATTTAAAATCTGGTTCCTTAGTTGCACTAGCCACATTTCAAATGCTCAACAGTAACGTGTAATTAGTGGCTACCATAATGAACAGCACAGATTAAATAACGTTTCCACCATCACAAAAAGTTCAATTGGACAGCACTGCTCTAGGTTTCCCTACTGCTCTGACGTAGAGCACAATGGAAGACAGCCCAGCTCCTGTAAGGTACTACTGGACTAGCATGTGTCCTTGGAAAGAAGGTAGATTAGACATCCTAAAAGCCGACCCTTCAGAATTATAGTGTGCTACCAGCTAGGCCTCAGCCACTTCTCTATTCCTCACCCACATGTGTGCCAGACAACTGTTAAAGTTAAAAAGAGGGGAAAGGTAGAGAATTACTGACTTGACAAAGCAAGGTTTATATTAGAAAATTCTAACTTGGAAGAAGGTTGTAGGCAGGTGAATGAGTTGGCTGAGGATGTGTCTTCTGAACTAAACCAATTAGACTGAATTAAAACAAAAAGTCTGGGAGAAAAAAAACTAATGACATCATTGTCCAATTAAATGGGAAGCTCTTCACATCTATAAGACTGTCACCATCTTTTCTAGGAAAAGAGTATAAAAGACAATTTTCTGGGCTAATTTCTTAATGAATGGCAGCCTTTAATTGCCATGTTATTTTAAGAGGGCCAAATCAGCTGATTTTCTATATCCTACTTATGTACAAAACCTCCAAAGTTTGGATTAAATAAAAACACCATAAATCTTACTGATCAAATCACGAAAACGGAAGTTACAAATGTAAAATCGTGAGACATATGTTGTTAAACAACCTTATTTCCTAGACTCCAGTAAATACAAAAACTTTAATTCCTGTTTGGAAGGTTAGCTATCTGCCATCAAAGCATCATGTACACACCAGATGAATGTGACATTGTCCAGTTATTTTTACTTGCTTCTTCTCTCTGAGTATAATGTAAAACATAACCCACATGTGGGAATTACAAAACATATTTTATAATATTACTTATTTTCTACTAATTTTATTGATACTATGGTGGTTTAAGTATTCTATCTGGCTGAACTCCCAATGATCACTTTAACATTTTCTAAACAGAAAAGGGTAACTAAGATGAACCATCTTTCGGGTATTGTTTCAGTTGATGAATTCTCTAAGAGCTGACTAAGTTTATTCTGGGAAGTTCAACTACAGAGACAAAATTTAAATACAGATAAATTATTGTACATAAAAGATCAGTAAAAGGTATAAGCAGAAAGATTTTTGTACTTTGTTCAGTTATAAGAAAATAAAGTTTTGAGCTGCATGACTTTTTATGATCCACAATCTGAAACAAAAATGTCTAGCTAGAATACATTTCATTTATTTGCCCCTTGACTCTACTGCAGTACAAAGAATATTTGTATTTAACTAAATTTATTCCTCACTTTTTATATGGGAGTGATATTCTAGCATACTTTAGACATGTGGAAACATTTTTACCTTTAATATCCTCATCTATTTTAGGAAGGAAGATATATGTGCAGGCTCAACCACAAGAAAATAGATTTATACTGAGTAATGTAGAAGACATTTTACCTAATCTGTTGTAGTGATATGGGCATTTTAATTTGTTGATAATAATCAGGGTATTTCTTCTTTGAAGGCAAATGGAAAAAAGGTTCAGCTATTAGCTGCCCCTGGTTATTCCGACAGCTCCTAACTGTATCATAAAGCTGATAAAAAGGATTTGAAACATCCATAAATGAAGTAATGCTCTCTGCTTCTGACTCTCCTTCTTCATAACGTGCAGCTAAAAAGAAAAAGAAGGCATTTGTAAGGGAAAGAATTGTACTTTAAAAAACTCTTTTTAACAATCTTCCAGGTTAAGCTATGTTTGAAAATACTTATTTTAAAAGAATAATCTCTAACCTTCATTAAAGATGTTAGTAATGCTTAATATAATTGTATGTTTACTTAGAGAAATATTATATAGAAGCTGAATAGAAAGTTATACAGTAAAAGTTATGCTGTTTTTATTACAAAAGTTTCTTTTTAAATGTGCCTTCTTTAGAGACTCCCTGCTAAGTGTGCTTGGACAAGAAATAGTCACAGATCTCAGAACTAAATATAAAAGCTAAAACTACAAAATTCTTAGAAGAAAACGTAGGTGTAAATCTTCATGGCTTTGGATTAGGTAATTGACTGGCATCTACTTTGTTTACTTAATAGCTGAAGTTACTAAATAATCCTCTTGTGACAAAGGTACTTACTTATTAGGAAAAAAGGCAATAAATATTTTTTAGGAATTTTGTAAATGGTGTGGTTTTCCCTCAATTTGTTATACTACTATACGGTGAATGAAGTAACCAAATGTTAGAAGGAAGCCTAAACATAACATGTGTCTCTATTATAATCAGCAAAAAACAAAGCTAATGAAAAGATAAGTTTTCTTCCAAGTTTTGACAAGATTAGGCCTAATTTAAATAAAAAATATTTAACTCTGTAGATAAATATCAAAAAATTAAATTCGTACTTTAATAAGTAGCTATAATAATTATGAAATTTCTATAGATTTAGTACAAAATTACAGCTGGAAAAATCTGTTGTATCACACTTGATTATAAAATCAAAAGATATGCCAAAATAACTTAATGAAACAAACTTTATCTCTGCATATAAAAAATATTTACAGTAAAATAAAAAATATATCACACAAGAGAAAGACAGATAATGAAATCAAATATATCTCTACAGCTGTTCTTTAGGTTGCTATTTAACAAATTGTATACTTTTACATGGATTTTTAGTGCCCAATGCTCTTTGTTGGACTTGTTTAAAAGACAATTTACGATACTGCTCTTATTGTAATTTACATCTGTCTTCCAATCATAAGGTCTAGCAGAGAAGAAATTATAGCCTACTGAAACTATAAGCCAATGACTTGAAAATCTAAGATGATGTGAATATCTTCCTGGGATTTCCTGATGGTGTCACTAGTACTCATTATTTATCATCGTATGTTTGAAACCAAGATCTGCTAAGGCTATCAAACCAATTGTTGTGAAAGAAGTATTAATTTACTCAGATATGAGTTTTAATACAAAATAAAGCAGTAAGCTTCTGATAAGTCTGCCAAACAAAGCGTACAATCAAAATGCAGCAAAATAGCATGTACTCCAAACTAAAACTCCCAGCCAGATCAGTCATTGCATTTTTCCTTAACCAGAAGGATCCACTGAGAAGGCACTGAACTAGTCACAACCTAAGGCCTACCAGCTAAAGCAGCATCCTCTTCACTTTCTGAGCCATACTGAAGTGCCATGGTTATTGCTGATAAACGACCCCCTTGGACTGCTCTTTTATTACTACAAAGAAAAAAGAACAATTAGAAGACATGGAAAGATATAATAAGAATTTGTTTACAGGAAACAGGAACTGCTAACAAGGCATTCATATCAAAGAAAAAGAATTTCTATTCAACTGCCTCCTCAATTTATCTTTGTACTTTTTATATTCCCCATAATCAGTTTTAGCCAACACCATTTTTTTTTCTCCTACAAGTGTGTGGTGGTAAAAAGCCTAAAGTAGGCTACTTGCAATTTGTTTTATACATAAACACGACACTACACCTTATTTAATAAAAAATATTTATTCATAATTACTGGTTAATTCTATGATGCTCATATTTTACAATGAATACAAATTCTATTATGAACACAAAATCTTTTAGATTTTACCATACATTTTACTAGTAATACTTAGCACTGCCTAACAACTTCTGCTTAAGTATTCTCTAAAGAGGTGAGGATAGTATCTCAACTTTTTAAATAAGGTATTTGATAACAAATTCTAGTAACTTAACTATACCCAAAAATATTACTTTAAGACAGCCATCAATCAAACACCACTATGCCTATCCTCATAAACATGGGTCGGCTCTCAGACTAAACACACTCACTCTCTCTCACCGGTAATACTTGCTAGTAGGATTTCTCTCTTCACCAAGGCTGCTTTTACTGTGAGAAGGACCTGTCATCCTGGCTGCAGCCAAATTTGATGAAGTTCTATTCAGATATAAAATTAAAAAAATGTCAGAAAATTGACAGCTGAAATCAGAATGCTAAGTAAGCAAGATAAGACTACCAGTTTCATCTTCTTTTCTAAATGCTCAAATATTTCTGACCCTTTACTGTGCAGCAGGCTTTGCTCCAAAACCTGGGGGCTCTGTGGAAGAGAATGAACCAGGACTGGTCTTAGAGAGCCTATGGTCACTAGTTACCAGAGGATCTGGCAACAAAGCAAATGTCAGAGTCAGAGAAAAGCTTCCAAAGTAGCCACACAATCTTTTCACTTCAGGTAGGAGGAAAGAGAATCCTAAAAATGAAACTTGTTCAAAGTCTTAGTCCTAGCACAAGGAAAAGCCAGGATAAGACTAGATCTCCTGACACTTGGCTAAATGCTCTTACTATAAATAAAAATATACTACTATGTATTACATACAAATATAAAAAAATATATATATTACATATAGTATACATTATAGGCATACTATAAATTATATACAAGTATACATATACATATAATATTTATACAACAATAAAAGAATACACTGGTGTTAAGTGTTAAAAATTGCTTTTTAAAATAAAGCCTTTAGGGTACATTAAAATGGCTGGTAAGAGTTATCCCTACTCTCTTTAGTATCACATTATCAACTGTAAATAAAACCTATAAATGCAACATATATCGTGTTTTCTACTGTACTGATTTCACTAGCTAGAAAATCTGGCAAATAATAAAAGCACAAGGATTTCAGATTCTTTTTATTGACCTACCTCATTCGAAGGCTTGATTTAGCCATTTCATGATGTTCGATTTCTGCCTTTTTCATATAAAATATTTTTTTAATAGAATTTGCATCCTGTCAAGATAAAATTACTTTGCTTAGAAAAACTATAGAAAATTAAGACAGTTTAAAATGCTCTCAATCAATCATGCACTAGACACTTTCTATGGCACTCCTTTCATTTGAAGTAGCCTTCCATTTGATATCCACAAAGCTGCATCCCCTAACCTTTCCAAAAGCTTCCAAAACATCTTCATAACCAAACCTAAGTTAAAAAGCCTCCTCACTCATTCACAATTAGTCAAACACATAGACAAAGATCCTATGATGAACAGAAAAAACTGGTGAAAATACAATGAACCCTACCTGCGAACACTGACCTAAAAACTGAAACAAAGATGCACTTCTAAGATAAAGACTATAACATAAACTTAGTATGAATGTATTTGCTTAAATTAATAGCATACTAATATATCAAACCCAAAGTTTCCCTTCTAAAATTTCATTTAGGGGAAATAATCAAACCAAAAAGAAAAATTTCAACTGCATCAACAATTAGTACAATACTATTAAAATGTCCTATTTAAATGTCCTATCAAGGACTAAGTACAAGCACTTCATAGTTTATTCACTTAAAGTTTCTTAAAAGATGAAAGATAAAAGTTAACATTAATATCAAAAGTCACTGTACTTGAATCAGCATTCTGAAAGTCTAAATGATTTTCCTTTCATAAGATTTCCTGAGCATCCTTTGCTAAATTCCCAATGATATGTTATTAGTTTAAGAAATTTCTACAAGCAACTATTCATTACAGGACTACAAAACCTCTAGGAGTGAACTGCAATGCAATGAAATAGTCATTTTACATTGTATATTATACTAAAGACTGCTTTTTATATTTATGAGGTTTAAATGCAGGGACTAAATCGATATTTAACTGAAAAGTGAAATGAAAATGAACCTATATGTCTACCTGGCATACAGACAAATGGAAAAGAACTGAATCCAGAAATAAACCCGTACATCTGTGGTCAACTAATTTTCAACAAGGGCACTAACACAATTCAATAGAGAAAGAATAGCCTTTTTAACTTAAGGTACTGGGACAAATAATATCCCACGTAAAAGAATGATTCTGGACTCCTACCTTATACCTACCTCATATAAACAAAAATTAATTAAAAATGGATCAAAGCTCTCAATGTAAAAGCTAAAACTATAAAATCCTTAGAAAAAAACATAGGTGTAAATTTTCATGGCCTTGGAAGGTAATGGTTTCTTGAAATGGCACTAAAAACACAAACAGTCAAAGAAAAGACAAGCTGGATTTAACAGAATTAAAAATGCTTGTGCCTTAAAGGGATACTATTACAGAAATGAAAAGACAATCCAAAGAATGGGAGAAAATATGTATAAATAATATATATAGTATAATGTCCAGACTATTTGAAAAATTCTAATGCAATAATAAAAAGAAAAGTAACCCAACTAAAAGATGGGCTAAGGATCTGAAGAGACATTTTTTTTCAAAGATATATGAATGGTCAATTGCCCATTAAAAGATGGTCACATCACCAAATCACTGTGAGGGGGGAAATGTTAATCAAAACCACAATGAGATACTATTTCATACCCAGCAGGACAGCTATGATAAAAACAAAAATGGAACAAAAGTGTTGGTGAGGATGTCAAGAAATTACACTTCCACATTGATAATGGGAATGTAAAATGGTATAGCTCTTTTGGAAAACATTTTGGTGGTTCCTCAAAAAGTTAATATATAGTTATTATGTGGCCCAGCAATTCCATTCCTAGGTATGTACCCCTGAAAAATGAAAATACATGTCTACATAAAACTTATACATGAATGTTCATAGCAGCATTATTTAGAGTAGCCAAAAAGTGGAAACAATCTAAATGTCTAGCAACTGATGAATGAGTAAATAAAATATGGTATATACATACAACAGAATATTATTCAACAATGAAAAGAATGAAGTACTGACACATGGTACAACATGTATATCTTGAAAAATTATGGTAAGTGAAAGAAGACAGTCACAAAGGACCATGTATTATATGGTTCCATTTATATGAAACGTCCAGAATAGGTAAATTCATAAAGACAGAGGTTGTCTAGGGATGGGAGGAAATGGAGAGTGACTGCTAATTGATTGTGGTGATGGCTGCACAACTTTGAATATATCAGAAGCCACCAAATTGTATTCTTTGGGTGAGATGTGTAATACGTGAATTTTATCTCAATAAAGTTGTTACATAAAAATTATTAGCTCTAAATTAAGGTATCTACTCTTACCAATGAAAACAACAACAAAAAGAACTAACCTTGAATACTTGAGAACCAGGCTCATTATAAGTTTTGGCATTTTTTGCTAGGAGATCTATATCTTTGGCCATTGCATGAATACTCTTGTAGCTTCCATTCTATAGTAAACAACAAAATACAGCAGTTCCTCTTTTTAAGAGTTAATCAGTATGACCTTTAAAAAAAAGAACTCAACATATTTTTAAATTGTCACCAGGTTCCAAGACTTATTGGAAAGCACACATGTGAACAATATGTAAAGTCATTTTCTTTTATAAACTATTAATATTGTCTAATTTACAAATGTTTTTTGAGGCAAATAACAAAACCAGAGCTACATTATTCTCATAAAAATTTGCAAATTTTTAACAAATGAAATAAGGTAAAAGTTGTTTTAGCGAACACATAGTACTTACTTATGTGCCAAGCACTAAGTTCTTCATTCATACCAATTCATTAAGGTGGATTTAATAATGTGGAGTAAAACTCTAGTCAGGTCAGTCTAGCACACAGGTTAACATTTTGTGAGTACCTACTATGTACTAGGCTCCATGTTAGAGCTGTCACATCTTATTCAATCCAAAACAGCCCAGGAGACTCAAAATTGCTTCAATTTACAAAGGAAAGGAAGAAAAAAAAACAATCTATGCAGAATGTACACATGAGAAGAAGACAGAAACGAAAAGGCATGTTCTAGAGACTGAGGAAACCAAATGAAGGGGAGTAGAGAATGGGGAGGGGTAGAATCGTAAGCACAGGCTGCGTAGGTAAAGTAGGGACAAATGAGGCAAAGTCTAGGCAAAGCAGAGGAGCTGGTTATTTGCCATGTAGGAATACCCAAAATCTGAGCACCCTTTTTATTTGGAAGAAATTCCAGCACAGGTGGTAGGAAAGGACCAACAGAGAGTAAAACTGAGCAGATGGTAGATTTGCCAGCAGCCTGGCAGCCAGGGAAA